TCAGCAAGGCCAAGGTCCTGCAGCTGGGTCAGGGCAGTCACAAGCACAAATCCAGGCTAGGGATGAGCAGATGGAGCAGCCCTGGGAGAAGGACTCGGGGGTGCTGGTGGTGAGAGCTGGCCATGCCCTGGCTGGGTGTGCTGGGACCCAGAACCCCCCTGTGCTGGGCTGAGCCCCCAGCGTGGGCAGCAGGAGAGGGGGATTCTGCTTCTCTGCCCTGCTCAGGTGAGACCCCATCTGCAGAGCTGCCTTGAGCCTGGGGGTCCCCAGCATCAGAAGGACATGGAGCTGCTGGAAGTGGGTCCAGAGGTGGGCAACAAAGATTATCAGGGGCTGGAGTAACCCTTCTTTGGATACAGGCTGTGAGAATGGGGGGGGTTCAGCCTGGAGAAGGGAAGGCTGTAGGCAGATCTTACAGCAGCCTTCCAGTACCTAAAGGGAGACCTGGAGAGGGACTTTTGGACAAGGTCACATAGGGATAGGATGAGGGTGAATGGCTTTAGACTGAAATGGCACAGATTTAGATTAGATATGAAGAGGACATGTTTTTGTGACATCAGAATGGTGTGACCCTGGGCACACAGGGTGCCCAGAGAAGCTGTGGCTGCCCCATCCCTGGAAGTGTTCAAGGCCAGGCTCGACAGGGCTTAGAGTAGCCTGGGATAGTGGAAGGTGTCCCAGCCCTGACAGGGGGGTGGAACTGGATAGGCTTTAACATCCCTTCCAATCAGACCATTCTGGGATTCTAAACCTTGCTGTTTTGGGATGGTGCATAAAAGTATAAAAACTTCCTGGATGCTCATGTGTGTTGCTGATGTCTCTTGCACTTCTCTAGATGCTGATCGGGTGGACAGCACAACGCTGTTGGGTAAGTAAGGTTTTTATTTTCACAGAAAGTTCCATAATCCTACCAACACAAGAAAAATACCCCTCTTATTTCCAAAGTAATTAAGTAGTTACTGTGCAGAGCTCTGATTTAGCTCTGAAAGTTTGCTGAATGCTTTTTTTTAGTCCCTGGTTCTCTTTCTGCCTAGCAGCAGGTAACTGATGGCCTTTTCAGGTCTATCAAATGACAAATGATAGTATTACCTCAGAGTGTTCTGGTGAATGCCAGTAACTTTTTATATACATTTTCTGGAGCTTTTACGTGCTAACATCAATGAGATTTTTGGCTTAGATTTCCAAATACAGGTTTCTGTTTCAAAAGCCTTCCTTAAGGGGGTTAGGAAGAGGGAATCTCCAGGGTATGGTACTGAAGGTGATTTTACAGCTGAACTGTTCAGGTTGCTTTTGTAATATTTCTGTGAATAACCCAAGCAATAATGCATTCCAATTGATGGAGAAGTTATAGTGAAACAACTTCAAAAGATTCCGCTCCTGAGAGATCTGTGCTGCTGCAGCCAACATCATAATTGCATAGATATCATTTGGTACTGCATGTAAGGGCCTTTGGCAGTGCAGGAGGTGAAACCCTGCTCTTTCCCAATCAAAAAGCACACAAGCTCCAAGACACTTATTTACAGGTGTAAAGCCAGAGATCAGTTTTGTAATTCCAATGGGATTTTAAACTTATCTTTCTCTCAACTAAGTTCATCAACCCCAATTTTAATCAAGTACAATTAGGCAGAACAGAAACCAAAACCTTCAGTACAATTTATTCCAGTCCCTCTTAACATCACTTTTAACAGTCGTCCTTTATTAACCTGTTAGCACCATCTTTAGGTGGTTTCAGCACCTGTTTACTTGTAGCTCAGAATACAGACCAAGTGAAAAACCCAAGAGGATTATTGTGTGTAATACTCCACAACCTTCTGCTTTTGAAGGGATTTCTATTCCATTCACATTACTCTCCAGTTACACTGTTTATGTACTTCCAACAGCAGCTTACACCAAGGATTTTTGCTGCAAACTTCAGGAATGGTTCAAGTTAGGACCACTGGGGTAATCTATTTCAACCCTCCAGCTCAAGCTGGGGCCTCTGGATAAGGGATCCAGAGTCACAGTGAACTTCACAGGTGTTAAATTAGCTGTGGCAAAAGGCAGCTGATGCTGAGCTGAGTTCTTGTTGTGTCAGTACTAGAGATCAGTTTTGGGGGAGAGCTTGAGCCCAGACATCATCAGGGTTAATGTTACATGTAATTCAGAATCCAGATCTGAGAACCTTGGGGGACCAGGATTGTGTTTATCTTGCTAGCTGGTGCTTAGAATCGAAAGTACACCAAGCACATGGATGTAGCAATATTAACGTGTTTTCTTTCCCCTCTCTCACCCCAGGAACATCATGTGTGGACTGTGCTAAAAGGAAGTTAGGAGAAAGTGGCACTGATTCCCCTAAGAGGATCAAGCAGTCAGATACACCCACTCTTGAATGAAAAAACCCCAAACACCCAAGGCCCACCACAGAAGCTTTTAAACAGTAGGTGTTTTACATCTGCTGCATGGGAAGTTTTCAGCTGGTATTTTCATGATTTTAAGTGGAATAAAATTGTACATACTAGCTTTCTCTTTTCTAAAGCCATAAATGTCTCGTGTGTAAAGCTTGAGAGTCAAATGAGTCACTCCCCTGGCACTGCCAGACCACTCAGGCAGGAGCTGCAGGGTCAGACAGAAGCAGATGCAACTTCTCTTTGCATCTATGTGAAGCCACCTGGACCCAACTCGTCCCCAGGTGAAGCCACCCAACATTTGAATCTGTCAAAAGGGCCTTTGAAATAGAGGGGTTTCAGTTCTCCCACCAGCTGAACTGCAGGTGGGTTTCTGCATTCTTCAGGGGTCTTGCAGGCTTCAGTCTCTGATCCCCAAGCCCTGAAGAACAGTGCTGTTCCACATTTATGGAACCCACAGCATGATGACCCACCTGCTTAACACTTTTGGCACGAGATTTGGTTTTTCTTTTGTCTGGTAAGGCACAAGAGCACCTGGGGAGGAAAGGCTGGAACAGTGCTGCATCTGCAGGGACAAGACTGCAGGTCTAGCACTCCCTGACCTCTCTGCAGTGGCTTCCTGTGGAAATGTTTTAAACACTGCTACATCACAGACTGTGCTGCCTGCTGCCGTGGACAGCAGGGGATTCCTAGTGTGTAAGTTTGCCTTTGGGTGAACTGCTCCAAGGGTGAAGGTGAGGCCCAGCAGTACCTGGTACTGCCCCCACCTGCATCATGTTGGCAGCAAGACAGAACTCTCACTGCAGCTGCCAGCACTGGTAAGCACCTGTGGTTTTCCAGCCAGCTGGCCCTCACCTCAGTGGCTGCAGGAGAGCATGTCCAGGGCTGTTCTTTGTGCTGATGGTGTACCAGCACAGGTGCACCTGACAGGGCTGAAGGATTTCTGTTACACCTGAGAGCAGGTCACATTGCATTGGGGTTTTACAGGAGGGCAAGGGGTGGGTCTGGCAGGTGACATTTCTGAACTGTGGTTTGGCAGGTCTTCACTCTCTTGTCACACAACCACCTCCTGCAGTGCTGGAAAGCGCTGCTTTGGAAAGTGACTAGTCAGGCTCTTGTGGATCCTAATGATCAGCTCAGAACCCTTCACCTGTTGTTTCAAGCCAAGCAAAATCCATCACTTGCATTGAGGTATTTATGACCCTCATTACTACCACTATTTAAACCCTAAAGTCATGCCAACTCCTTGTCAACGTGCTTGAAGTTGGATCCACAATAGGAAATCCCATCCCTCCCCTTGCTGAGGATCAGCTTACACCCAGCACTGGTGATTCTTCCCTTGTAGATTCTGTTGAACTGTAGCTTGTCCAGCAGCCTCCTGTCTTGAGGGCCATCTGCTGTATCCTCAAAAGCAGAAGAGAGAGGGGTTGTTTTATCTCCTAATACATCTGTTACCAGATTCTGAAATAAGGCACTGATGCTGACTCATGCCTCAGAGTAAATTATTTTATTCAGTGAAGTGTGGCAATAACACAAGTATTTTATGAACATCTGTATTCCTGTGAAACACGTTACACTCTTGCTCAGACAATCTTCCTCCCTGAGGCAGGATCCTCACAGGCCCAGCACAAGCCCAGGGCTCACAGCACATGACAAGGTAGATATGTGTAACCAACACACAGGACAAAAAGAACCTGCTCCGTGAACACAAGATAGAATTATTAACAGCCACAAACCAAGGGAACCTCTTTAGCACACAGAGGTGGAACATAAGCCAGATGAAGTGATTCCAGCTTTCAGTTTTCTTTGCCCAACTTCATTAACTTTAGATGAAAAACTAATTAACTTCCATCTGCTTAGATGAAAAACAGCCAGCAAAATAAGTAACTTCAGTGTACTGGGACAGCTACATAATTACATTTATGTATTATATGTTTTATATATATATAAATAAATTATATATGTATATTTCATTTGCCTCTATAGCATGACTCATTCTTTCTACTTCTGTACGAGGTGAAATCACTCAGAGGTGAAATTTTTCAAGGTTACATCACAGCTCTCAAGCTGCATCCCAAGTTTTTGTACAGTTAACTAATACTTGTGTAAGGCTGCAGTGGAGAACTGAAGTCTGATTGTCACAGAAGTCACCCAAAATAATGAACACACTCCAGTACCTTACTGTTTTAGAAAAGAGGAAATAATCCTATTCTGAAGGCAAATAGAGGCAGCTGCAACTCAAAAAGTCCTGACTGGAGCAGTGAGCACCTGAACAGCATGTGGCACTGTAGACTTTTCCTTTGAAAAACAAGAGGCTTGTTCTTTGGGATACTCTACTTACAGAAATGAACCTGCAGCACTTCTTACAGCCAAAATATTTGGAACGAAAGCTTAGGGTACCAGTGTGTACACCACAGAAATAGCCTCGGGCTCTCACCCCTTAACAAAACTGCATCAAGGAGTAGCAGTTGATTCCTTAATATTTTGCAAAACTGCTTCACTTGAAAAGTGAACATTTCCCTGTCAACCTCTAATAGCCACATTCAAACTCTGGTTTGTAACAGTGAGCTGTGAACCCCGTTCCTATTGTCACCTGGCCCTGACAGTATCCATGCACTAGTCGAAGAGAGAACCATGGCTGGGCTTCTCTGTCGTGTCCTGCTCTTCCTCCTCTGGGTACTCGGTAAGATCCAGGGTCAGGACTTGGCTGAACATAATGTCATTGTACTGAAAGAGGGAGGATCAGACCAGGTAACACACTTCTGGGACTTGAAATAAGCTTTCATAACTATGAGATGCAATCATGAGCTTGAGTTTCCCACAGGATGTTCCCCAAAGCCGGTACCTGCACAGCAGGACACACCCACCCACCAACTCTGTGCAACACTTCAGGTGTGACCCAGCACTTCAACAGCCCCATGTGCATTATTTACCCATCATTAATTGTTACCTCAGGACACACTCCAATCAATGCATCTGCCTTGTAATAAAACTCTTCCTTCAGGGAAATGACTATCATTTGGAACTGTTCATGTGCCTGTTCTCTAATGAAACTTGAGACCTTTGGAAAGAAACCAAGTATTTCAGTTAGTTCTGGCAACCTGAAACAATGCTATGATTAGGGAATGGTGAGGGAAGAACTGAACTGTGCTAGCTGCAGAATTCCATCATGATTGCTAAAATGAGAAATAAACCAGTTTTAAAAGCCAGATATTTTGCATGGTTTTAAGACAACCCCTCAGGTGTGCTGCTTTTTGAAAACATTTAAGAAAATAATGGTTGATTCCAGTGAGTAGAGCTATAAAAAAACTCTAGTGCCAATGAATAACAATTTTACTTTATATAAATAGAAAGGAAGGTAGAAATCCCCAAGTAAGTTTTTTTTCAAAAGCGTGGAAAGTTTGCCACTGGTTGTATAATAACCTTAAATAGTTCACTGCAGACAGTAGCAAGTTTCTCAATAATAATGCAACTAAGTTATTAACTGGTGAGATTGCAATGTCCCACAATATAAATTAAATGCTGCATAAAGGAAAACCAGTATCTTTTTAATGAGCCCTCTACCTGCACACTTCTATCTATATGACATGGAAATTAATTTTTTACTGGAAGAACTCTTAGTAAGTTATGGGAAGAACTCTTGTTAGTAAGTTACAAACTTCACAGTAATTTCAGAGTATAGTTCCAATTAGTGAGAGATCTGCTTTAATACATCATCCATCTCAAAGAATGGAAAAAACAAATTCATTTCTTAGGATAAAAAATAGATACCAGTGAGTACCAGCAACAATCTTTCACAGATCAGTTCTGCTCACTTGCAGTATTTAATTTTAGCTATGTTTAAACTGAGTAATTCAGGTGCACAGAGGCAAAATCACCTCTTTGTTTCCAGTGTTTTGACAAGAATGGTGCTCAGCACATCCTTAGGTGTAAAGGGAACCTCTCTTCTGCCAGGCAGAATGAGCCTCCTGAGAGAGGCAAAGTGCCTAGTGCACTCTATTATCATTATCAGCTCTGGTAATGCATCAAAGGTAGCCTATATGGAAATCCTCACATTCATGCAATGAGTACAGGATTGGGGCATGTCTAACTGCAACAGGAACCTATCTGGATTAACACAGTCATCCAGGTAACAAGCAGGTAAGGGTCCCTGCCCAGCTCCAGACAGAGCCAGGAAACACAACAGCCAGCCATCCCAGAGAGCTGCAGATCACCTAACACACCACAGCTTCCACAAAAAGCAGAAATGTTAAGTTCAGCAGTAAATGGTGTAACACCAAAGGAACTGGAGTCAGCCTGCACTGCTCCAAGTCACCAGCCTTGAGACATCTGACCCAGAAAGAATAACACACAGGAAACACAATACTCATATTCCTCCAGAATACATCATCTTAGAGTGGTCCCAAGTGAGACTCATCAGCAGAGCAGTATCTGGTAGAAGCTCAGCTCACGGAGGTGCTGTGTGATGTGTAATCTTGTTTTTAATTGTGTCACTGAGAGACAAACCCTTAAACTTCCTTAGGAATCTTCATTATAGCACCACTACATTCCAACTCATGTTGCTGAAACACACTGCACCAAGTTAAAACAACCTCAGGGCTTAGGTAACACTTGTGGACTTGCATCCCAAGGATTATTTAGGGAATTCAGGTTTCAGGAACCTCTCACAGTGAGTCAGTGATCTCTAAGAAGGAATCTAATTCTATCTGGCAGGCACATGTGGTAGAGCTTTCCAGCTATCTATTCCAGAAGTACCCTCCAAGCAAACTCTGGGGTTCTTGGCCCACCACAGTTAACGCCATGAGGGGAAAAACCAAAATATGTGCTGTTTAAACAACTGCTCTTGTTTGTTAGGCTCTACCAAGACTGACATTAGCAGTAATGCTAGTAGAAATACTGTTCTGAAAAAGAATGCTTCTACAGAAGAAAATCCAGGCATACTTAGAGAGCTTTAGGATTCCTCCCTACAATGAAGTCCCCCTGTTCTGAGCCTCCTCCTCCCAGGGGCTGCCATCCACAGCTGCAATCTCTGCTGTTTGTGCTCCAGCCTCAGTTCTTGTTACATTGAACAGTCACTGGCAAAAAGGGCACAAGAAATTAAGAGGGCAGGAACGTGTTCTAATCAAGAAAAGTCATGTGACTAAAGTGACTGGAGCAACAACTTTATTGGTGCTAATGCAAAAACAGTTACTAAGCCAATTACATTAAACACTGCAGTAACAGCATGACTTCGTTTCCACATGCAAACACACTCCTTGCTACTCCTTGGAGTCAAGGGAGCTTCAAGGCCTTACCAATTCCAACAATTCCCAGGTGCCCTCCAGGTCAGACTGTGCCACATGGGGTTACACAACACACCTGCACACTCCTCACCTCCTCCTCTCACCTTCCCAATTTGGAGACCAATCAAACACACTTGGATTAAGGAATTTATATTTTTCCTGTATCTCACAGACTCATTACTTTAGCCCTAAATCCAATCCAATTTAAAACAGATTCAGTCAGGCTAAACAATCTCTGTATCCCAACACCCTGCAATGGAAGTAGCCACCCTTTTACAGAAGGTACCAGATATTGTCAGTAAAAGAGCAACTTACTTTACCAATGTTTGTGTTATCCAGTGCAGCATCTATCTCATCCAAAACAAAAAAAGGAGCTGGACGAAAGCTGTAGAAGACAAGATGGTATTTTGAATTGAGATACCAAAATGTTAATCAACATTCTAATTACTTACTTACTCTATAAATAAAATTCATAGTATTTTTCAATATTATTCTTGTATTTATTGTAATTAAATAATTAGGTATCATTTAACATCTAATACACAACAGACAAACTCATTAACAGTTAATATTTTTAATTAACATGAAATTTTACATTGAATATATAAAGTTATGACAGATAAAGAATAAGGACTTCAGCAGCGCTTGAACACTCCATTAGCAGAATTTTTAACATGTGTATAAGCATAACACTGTCTCTATCACATACTTGGCCAGATACTTGGATAATACCCTAACACTTTTTTTTTTCCTCCTGGATAGTCCCAAACAGCTCTTTTACCTGTGTACAGCAAACACAAGAGCCAGGGCTGCCACTGTTTTTTCCCCTCCTGACAAGCTGTCCATGGGCATAAAGCGCTTGCCCGGAGCCACGCAGTGAAAGCCAATGCCTTCCAGATAGGGCTCCTCAGGATTTTCTGGACTAAGGAAGGCCTAGAAACAAACACATTTAATTGTTGATAGTGAGATTTATCAAATTATTTAGATGAGTATTTTTAAGGTTTAAATACTGCCTGAGCTAGTGAGGAAATCAGTGAGTTTCATCCAAGTGTTCATCCATTCTGAGAGCAGCAGTATCCAGTTCCTGGAGAAAATGGTTTTGTCAACAAACCAGGAACCAAGAGGCTCAGTAACAAAACCAGTATGGAAACGGTGACACATATTTGTTATTTCCAGACTTTGAACTCTTGAATAAACTTAATTTTATCACCTTTTATGTAACTGCTTTGATTTTTTAAAATTATTAAAGTGTTACACTTCAAAAGCAGATTTCTTGGTTTTTTTTGCCTGGAAGACAATATACTTGCAAAATTGCCTTTGTTAGCTTTACAGAACCTACTTGTGAGCTGGACAAAGACTGCTTGTCTTAAAGTCTTTTTCTGTACTTTGTGTCTTGGTTCTCAGGGACAAAATTTAAAAGCATTATTTTAAAGGAATCACCATTTTCCTAACCACTAAAGGTATGACGGGTAAGATCATTACTAGATGATTTTTCTCATTAATAGAAGAGACAAAATAATACAGACTCTTCCCCTCTGCACAAGAGGAGACAGGTAAGAGAAATTTCCTTACTTAATCCTCATTTCCAATGTCTCTTCTCAGATCACAGAAATCATGGAAGAAAACCAACACATAACATGCTGAAGAAAACCACAAAATCTTAAGACAGACAAGAGTTCAATCCTTTAAACATTCCACAGTCTATGGAATTTGACATAACCAAAGCATTTGGTTATGTCAAATTCCATAGACTGTGGAATGTCCCTCTTGACTTCTGGTATTAACACAGGAACAGTAACAATGATAACTGTGAGGCAATTTGCTTAAAAGAAACATGCGAGACATGTTTCCTAGAAGTTGAAAACGTGTTATATCTGTTTATGTTTTCTAGATATTTAAAGGGGGGTAGAAGGTGCTTCAAGACCTTGCACAAAACACTAGCACTGATTCACAATTTTCAGCTGTCTGTACTAATGATTATTATTAGTGTAAGTTGATGCGTAAACCAATGTTATTTTAACTGAAGTACTCAATTACATTTCACACTTGTGTTCTGATAATTTACAAGTCTGCTAAAAGCAAAGAGTTAAACTAAGCCAAGCTGAACAGTCCCCAGTTTTGCTCATAGATTACCTCTCTGTCTAATGTCAAGCATACTTAGGCTTATTGCCTGTTCCTTCCCTGACCCTAAACTTCTGTAGGCTTTATTTCTGTAGGTTTTCTTCTTAAGGTTTGAGACTGTCTTTGGAAACCACAAGTGCTACTTTATTCTAGGTAACAGATCATCAGGTTTGGCCTTTAAGGCACAGCCCCTGCACACAACACACCTGAGCACTACTGTTCCTGCAAAGCTTCTTGTAGATCCTGTCAATGGCTATGGAGGCATGCTCAAAGCACCGGCTAAACAGCTCGTATCTCCTTCTTTTCACCTCTTCAAACTCCTGCTTGCATATTCTGGCCTCCTTTTTGCTGGCCTCAAAAGCTATGGAAAAAAAAAAACCAAAAACACAGGAATTGCTCTTTAAGAATTCTTTGAGCAAATACACAGAACAAATGTATACTGGGTACCATGAACAGCATCAAAGAAAATACTTATTGCAGAAAAAGGAACATACCGATAATAGTGTGAGTTTCATTCCGAATTTCAAATGGAAGACCCACAAACCAGTAAAGTTTGGATGTATTCAATCTGCTCTGTGCCACATTTGTCTGGAGCAAGGAACAATATTCTTCTCCTAATTCCTTCTGGGAACCAGGGAGCCCTAAGCAGCACCAGCACTGACCTGGTACAGTTCCAGAACCTCTTAAGTTAGTATCTTCAAAATTCTCTAGAGATACTAATCATTTTGCAGAAATTCTCATGTATGAGTTTTGGACAACATACACAGTTCCTTCAGTTATATAAGAAAATTTAAGCAATTTTAACATTACAGTCAGTACTTCTCAGAAAGCTAGTAAAAAACACTTTATGATGTCATGTGGGGAACAAGTATCTTCCCAATCATTCAAACTGTATTTCAACAAACTACTCCACACTCAAGTGTGTGTTAATTGTTTACATATAATTAAAAAGATAACTGAGGATAAACACTTGAGCACACAAAATACCTTAATATCTGAAAGGGGCAAAGCCAGCAGGACCAACCCCAAGAAGAGGAATTTCAATTAGGGTGGAATCACAAAAGTGACTGACATGAAAGACTCAGTGTTACCATCTATGGATTCCTGGAACTTGTCCCGAGCTATCAGTAACTTCTCTTCTGCTCTCAGGTTTGGAGCAGCTGTCTTCATTAATGTGACCTCTTTAGTTTTGATTTCTTGCTGCATTTGCTTTACTTGATCCTCTATGTCTTTATCAGATTCTAGTTCCTAAAGAAAAAAACCCAACAGAGCAATCTAATTTGCTTTTAGGCCCAGACATTTCAATACATATAGCAAGCATTCATGGCTCCTGAAACAATTACCCCACTCATTAATAGTTTTAACTTTAAACACAACTGAAAATGCCACCCAGGTCTTATTTCTTGCAATGAGTCTACCAGGCCCTCACTCTTCTTCCCCAAGATTTTAAGAACAGGAAGCCAATTATTTTCTCTCAATTCCCTTTTTAAAATACAACACAGGAGCAGGATTAGTTCTTCACTCCTTGATTTTTAAAGAAGAGGCTCTCAGTGAACTTTAGATAAGTTCTACTGATGACAGATGCAGCCTTTGTGCTTAGCCTCTGACATTTAACTATTTTCCTCCAGATTTAAAAGGAAAAAAGATATTACAAAACCTGCTGAGAAACTGTGACCTAATGGGCTGTTAGACAGGGAAGGATGGGAACCCTTGGTCTCTGCAAATACCACAAACAGAAGGTAAACAAGCCCCCACAGCCACCCTTGGGTTCTGGAGTTTTGAGCCTTGACATACAAAGCTGGAACTTCGAGGCAGAAGGAGGAAGGAAAAAAAGAAAAAAAAAATCAAGGTTATATTAAGTCTCTCAATTCCATTTTTGTGGTTCAGGTAAGCTGTAAGTTAAAGCCAGTTATATGGAAACTGACCTATCTAGAAATCCCACACATGAATGCTACATCATGAGTACAAAACCAGAGCACACATAACACATGCACTTCAGCTTAGCAGTGGCTTGACCAAGTGTCACTTAAAGACTAGGGTGAAGAACAAAATAAACAACAAATAAAATACCTTTCACAAAAATAAAAATCAGACACTTCATCTCTAATAATTTCAGACAAAAGATTACCTTTAGGTCGACTTCTAGGGGGCTGTAGTCTATCTGAATTCTCTCTTCCCTTTCATAGATCCCTGATAGAGTCTGGGTGTCTTCTACAGTTCCTAGCTGTAAGATGAAGGACATTCCAGTTCAGAAATACAACAGTTAACTTTAAAACTGTAAAACCAATTCATTAAAAGATTTTAAAATTAAGAGACAGTGGTAACATCGTACGAGGTATATGTAATCCATGGCTCTTCCTCTGGCCCAAATGGAATGAACAGTTAAGATCTCATGAGCCTAACTAACACACACACCTGTTAAATGAAGATGAAAACTGCTAAACTCAGACTGAAGCTATGTCAAAAGCAGCAGCAGCCTGTTTATTACATATTTACAACACTGTACATACTGTAAATCTCCTGACTGTCAAGATGTACACTCACTAATACCTCAATCCCTTCCAAGGGAAGGCTGAAGTGTGTAAACTGAGGCGTTTCTTCCACTCAAAAGAATTGAGGAGCTTCAGTTCTGTATGGCACAAGCAGAGAATCTTTTACTCCCTGTCGCCTGAATTTCAAATAGTCATGTTCCCTCAAATGAAACATGTCTTATCTCTCATTATTAGACCCCTTTCCCACCAAGATTTTTTTCTCGGAACCAAATCTTGCTGGTCTTCTCTGTGAGTTTAATTAAGAATCCACATTGTTATTCCTTCTGCTCTCCCCTCCTTGGTTTCCTCTCTTCCTTACTCAGAAACAGTGAGAGCTGAGTTCCTACATCCTTGGATCACGGGCAGTTCTTGTTCTTTCCCTTCACAGACTGCCCACCACACCGCACTGCCTGCATTCTGTCCACTGCCCAGTTCACACCTATCCTCCAGCAAAAATACTTTTCTAAGGAATGGGTTCAACAAGACTCCTTCCAAATTCACACACTTGTTGTAAGTTCTTCAAAACCCACTGCTTATTTCTTTTGTAACAGCGCAGAAAGTTTATTTCTCCTCACAAAAGGTATGTTGGAAAAAGAGGGAAGATGGAGACAATAAGGGGCAGTCACTGGATAGAAGGAATGTTTCTATTTTAGCCTATCCCTAATTACTGTGAATATCTACATCTACTGAACGCAAAAGGATGCTTTTATAAACAGCATTTATATTATGGATGGTAGAACAAATATGATCTCAATCCTTGCACAAAGCCACATTTATTTACATTTCTGAACTGACCCCTGTGTATCCTCTTATTTATCTTCACACCAATTTTCCTGTACAACAAGATTTTATATGTTTCACACGAGTGTGTTTCAAGCACAAACAAAAATACTTGCAAACAGTATTTACCTACAAAAATAAAAACAAATCTTTTTGAATGAAAGAGACCTGATCACATGAATAGAGTGCAGTGGTTTGAACATTACTATGTAATAGAAATAGTCCTGTAAGGAAAGAAAAATTAAATTAATGAGTAAGTGCTCCTCCATGATATCTATCTTCTGCAAACACTTAAGTACCTCTACTTCACTGATGTCGTCCAGTGATCCAGACAGTAACTTAATTTTCAAGTCCTGCACCTTGCATTCAAGCAGCAGATTATGTCCCCTTAATCTCATCTCTTCCAGCGAGGTTTCTAGAGCTGTAGCTTCCCTCTGCAACTTTGTGGCTTCTCTACATGAACAAAAGGCACAAAACAACTCAAGAATGGAAACATCACTGCTAGTAACATCCACAGAAAAACAGCATGAAAAATACAGCATAGGCAACAGCTTCCAAGCACCAAGAGGGCTGTTTCCTCTTCAATAACCCCCATCAAACATAAAGGAAAATGGTACTTCTGCCATCCCCTCCATTCTCCTGAATTACTCCAGAGGGAGCCTCAGTCTCAGTACATTGCCAATTTCACTTAAAAGCACATTCAAATACCCATCTTTCCCAATTACAGACTACCTCAGTTCTGTTCAGCTCTAGTGAACATGTATGGAGATTTGATCCTTTAACATGTAACCAAGTATCTTTCATCACTACTCTCCCTGAAACAGCTTGATTCTTTACAACCAATTCCTCTGGTAGCATCAAGTTACTATCAGCAGAAACACAGTTAAAATTATACACAACATAAATTACTAGGCATACAGTCATGAGTTAATAGAAAATTCCACAAGTTTACATAGCCATAACTGTGCCAACGTGATAGGGTTTTTAAACACAGCGATGACTCCTGATTAAGGGACATCAGTAATAAGCAAGCACAACAGAACTGAAGTATAAACTGTCCACAAAGGAGTTGATTTAATACAACAGTAGGAGAAAAAAAATGACCTAAAGTTAGTATTAGTTTAAGGCATCCAACATACGGAAAGTCTGGAAAAATAACAATGAAATTGGAAAATAAAAATGTTCCTATTAATCAGACCCACTCTACAACTCAAACTGAACTGTGAAACCACGAGGGAACTTCACATGCTGCCAATCAAGCTGTAAGCTACTACACATTCACCACAGGAGATAAGAGATCTCTGGTCAGATATCTCAGTGAGACCTAAGACTAGGCAGGTAATAAAATAATTCTGTATGGTTTATGGGATGGACCTCTTGAAATACTCTGCTTCACCCACTGAAGTAGAAACAAGGTTAAACCAAGGCACACTGCAGATGCAAATCACTATGTCTCTAATAAATTTTTCACAAGGAAACAAAACAAGATCAATCCAAACATGTGATCAGTAAGTCCCTTCTAAATATTATCCCTTTAATAATTTTCCCAGGAGTAGAAGTAGGAGTTACCTATTAAGAGTTAATATCACCTTTCTGCACTCTTCAACTTCATTTTGGCTTTTTGCAAGCTCAGCTTTATGAGCACTTAGTCTATCCTTAAGGTGTTGCTGCTCCTCCAAAAGTTCATTTACTTTTTTAAGAAGCTTTTCCTCATCCTGCATGGAAATATTTAGATTTTTAACCTCCCACTAAGAATCTAGATATGGAACCTCTACTACACAGAAAGAAGGAGTTAAAGTTTCAACCTGTTGCATTCAAATGTGTTAGAGTGAAGATCTGAAAGGCACTGGGGGGGGTTTCCCCCACTTTGTGGCAGTTTTATACATTTCATATTTTGTTTTTTGTTCAAAGCACATATTTTCTCCTTCCCTTTTCTGTGAACAAGCACAAGCTTGTTTCTTTAACAAGCACCATCACCACAGTACAGAATAAAGAGCACTGTGAAGGAGAAACCCAGACATATTACTTCAACTAAAAACCTAAATTGGTTTCATAGCATTATTTTAAATGTTTTAGTGGCTGTAAAGTAGCTTAAAGATGTAAAGCACCAGAGTTGCTTGCTCTTACTCAAAATCTCTGCTGAATCTGAGCCACATGCTGCTGGTTTTATCTATAGTTGCATGTTGCCTTTTCATATCAACAGAACACATAAACTGAACAAAATATAAAATAGTACTGTACAGACAGTAATCCAAAACTTAATTTTTAGTAAGCTTATTTTAAATAATAAATAAGCATTCAAATATGGCAGTTTATTCCAAAATTAAAATGCAATATGCATCTGGATTTTTCTAAGCAATTACAAAGTCAACCCTGAATTAACCCCTCAAAAGATTAATCCACAGCATCAACTACATTTATTCAAAACTGAAACTGAGAGGAAAGAATGTATTGAGTTACAAAGACAGAGAAATTATTTTCATTATTACCTTCTTTAGCTTGATAATCTCAGCTTCATCTTTATGAATTGTCTCCCTCAACTTGCTGACTGAGTTTGTTAATTTTTGTAGATGATCACGATTATACTCCAGCTGAACGTTCAGCCGTGTCCTCTGACTTTCAAACTCCAGTCTAGTCAAGGTACAGGATTTAAAACCACTTCTTACAAAGCAGGCTATTAACTGTGATTGGACTCTATTTAGATACCATTACTGTATATCTTCTATGTGAACAGAAAAATCTGCATTACATTGATTCTACTACACCACATCCTGCGAATATATGGGAAATCACAAAGATATAGTGATACTGGTTAAACAAATACAATAGAGAATATAGCCACATCAATATGGAAAGTGACACTTGAACTTCAACCATCTTTTCATTTTAACATCCTGCTTCTAAAATACAAATCTGTGGAGCAGTGACACGTGTCTGTGAGATAAACACTAGCTGAGGCTGCCTGTGAAAAACTCAAGAACCTGTGCTCCTTAGAGAGGAAGTTCCTATACCAAACACCTGCATCTTACACCCTGTTTTCCTTAAGATTTATTCACATGAGTGACCCTTCATGCTATTCTCAATCTGGGATAGTGCCATTTTTTAATGTGGGTATTAGAAAACTATTTTTAATTTTTTTACAATAGTGCTACCAAAATAGTAAATGTTACCTTTCAAGTTTGTTGCAAGCTGTCACCGACTCCGTCTAAACAACCCCAAAGCACAGCAGTGATCTAACTAATCCTTGTCTAACTAATCTACAGCAGTGGCCTGACTAACAGTGACATGGAGAACCTTCCACATTCCACTATGACTTTGTGTTATTTCCTGTGAAGGAGTTTCTCCAGTACCACTGTGCCCAACCTAATACCAACCAGTGGTTTTCATTTTAGAGACATATACTACCTTCTCTTATCAATCTCCTCTTGTTGTCTCACGTGTTCTTGTTCATACACACGAATATTTTCTATACCAATTTCTTCACAGAATTCCCGGAAAACAATATCTTCAACCTTTGAAAACAGAAATGGAACAAAAAATGATTATACTATTTTGCAACTCAGAGATGTAAAACATTCAATCACTTCATGCTACAGACTAGATTTTTTAAGGTACTTCAAGAAAACAGCTAACAACTACTGAGAAGTAATTTGTACTTGAAGTTTTCAAATAACACTTTCAGTCCAAATGCCAGACATAAGGCATATGTGCCTGGAATCTACAAAGTGTAACTCTAATGACAGCACCTGGTCATTTTGAAGACAGAAGTCATCACAGTGTAACCAGCTTCCCTGGTTTTGCCTGTTGTTCCCAGGCAGCTGAAGAAGAGAAAGCTAGACAGGACACTAATCAGATACACTAGATTTCTTGGACTTGTAGTTCAGTTCTTTATTTGAATCCTTTCAAGAGATCCATAAATATTAATTACTATGCTCTGTTTATAAAAAAGTCACAGCAAAAATTCTGCCATGGAATAGCTAATTTCCTAATTATACAGTATATACTAAAAAAAAGCATCCGTCAAAATCAAGTCTAATTTTTTTTTTTTACAATTTAAGCAGGCAAATACTAGGTACAGTGTATATGGCTGGACTGAAGGAAGAAATGGCAACAGTCCATTCCTATAAATTCCTATTTAAAAGGAAACCCAATGGACTGAACAAAATTTTAAAAGAACTCTACAGGTCAAAGCCTGGTATTATTTATATAGTTTTAGTATTCAGGATTTTTTAACCAGGTATCAAATACTACATCAAATCAAGTTATACTATCCAAGTTACACTACTCTTTGGAAACTGATTATTGGTTCCAAATGATAGCCTCTATGATTTTGTTTTTTCAGAACAAGCAACAGAGAAGTTCCTGTATCTGGAATTCTTACATGGTTAACCACCAGTGACTTCCTCACTGTTTGCAGATGACAGACATCTGCACTCCCTCATGCCTGCACCCCAAGCAAGACAGAGAACAGGCAGCAATTTTGGCTTGTTCTTACATGCAGAATTCCAGTCATGGATTAATCCCCAGACTGACTGATGAGAATGGGTCAGAAGCCAGGAACTAAATTACAGATGTATGATACAGCCTGAGTTACTGCAGGCAGTGGTGAGGAATGTCTCCTTCTCCAACAAAATACATTTACATCAGCATCTAAGTCCTGGGCTGTGTATTTCCCACATAAAATTGCAGTACCATTTTTCCACAGCTTATACCAGATTTCTTTGTTTGACAAGAGTAGGAACAAAGGCAGCTTCAAAACACAGGTAGAGATGATGATTTTCCCAAGAGGTTAATTACTGCCTACCCTAGCAGAACACAGCAGGAAACCCCTCTTGGCATCACATTAGGCTTTACTAACATTCCCTTCACTGAATGCCTTTAGTCTCTTCATGACAACCCTGCTCTGCAATCTGTCCACTGTCTGTATGAACTGCTCTGGGGACCACTGGAAGATTGGTATATTACAGGGAAACCAAGAGATGAGATGGCCAAAGTGTCTACACAAAAAACCAGCTGAGAAACCTAAGTGGTGGATCATGTATCACAGGGAACTTTTCCTATTGCTGATAAGAAGCAGACAGGAGCAGATTCTAAAGACAAAAGCTCTTTAGTACCGTAACAGAAAATGAATTTGGTCAGGTGGGGATAGAACAAGAGCTCCATATTCTCCATCAGCTACACCTCAAAAGAGAGGGTGAGCAAAGAACACTCAAGTTATATCACAGGCTAGCTTCATCTTCCATGAACTGGGAATTCCATGAAGCTAGCTTGTGATACAACTTGAATACCCTGAAGTCCATTGTATACCTGGACTTGAATACAGGTATACAACGGTCTTAAAAAAACCAAGAAAACACCAAAACAAGCCCCAAAAACCACAACATGCAAAAACCCCTAAAGAACTTCCTTCCCACCCAGAAAAGAAAAAACCAAACAACAAAATCACAAAGAAAATCTCCTCCCAAAACAGAGAAATAGGAATTTGCTGATAATCATCACACACACCTCTGCCACTCTCCCAAGGTAATCAGAGCACAGAGAAAAATCAAGAACTAATACTGGCTACTTCCCAAGAGAAAGGAGCCTTCGGACTACGCTATTTTTCATCTACCTTCCAAGCAGACAGACCATCCCCCAGACATATCACCTGCAGAGCTCCGAACAAAGCCCTCCTGCAGTGCTGAGGGCTGTTTTCAGCTCTAGAAAGCTGTATATATATGTTAACAAAGCTTCATCTACTTGAGATGTAGATGGGTTTGGTTGGTTGGATTTGCACTTGACAGTCACAGAACTTTGACTCTAAGGAAACTGATTTGCAAAGCCATGACTCATATACACTAACATTCTCTGTTCAGAGTTACCTTGGTAAGAAGGGTAGAGGATGTGGAGACATTACTGGAATAATGTACAAGCCTTGCTGACAAAGCAGTTTACAAAGTTAAAAGTTCCCTAGTTCTAAATATCAAGTAAAACTTAAGCTTCTGTAGCCTAATAGCATGAGCTCTCAAAGCTCTGACAGGAGGCATTACCTTGTTAATTTTTTTCTGAAACTCTTCTATTTTTTCTTTTCTTTGCACTATTCCTTCATTCAGCATATCATGCTGAGCCTCAATATTTACCAGTTCACTTTCCAGTTTTGATTTTTCCTAGATAGAAAGGAAAAAGATGGTAACTTTTCTCAATAGGATGATCAACTTTCTAGAAATTAAGGGACAGCTCTGTTCCAGGTTAACTGTTTTTTTCTCATTAAAAAAATTAAATATTTTCTTCTCAAATGCCACTTAGCCACTATTACTGCCAATTTGCATGTAACAATCACAGTTTTAATGAGCAGAAAAGCAAACTAAGTACCACATAAAGTGCACTTGGACTTACAGACTTCTGAAGGTTACCAGATGATAAAACTTGGGTTTGTGGTAAGCTTGGTTTAAACCACAATAGAAAAAGCCTCATGTAAAGTACTCTGCAATCTTTGTTTTTTGTATTTTATCAATTCCTCAGTTATAACTGCTGTATGTAATACTTTCACTAAATTTTAAAACCTACGTAAGGACATAGCATTACTTGATCAGTATTCCAGTTAAAACAATACAATTATTAAACATGAAAATTATAAAGACTTAATATTATACCATGAAGAGATTAGCAAGATGTTTCTTTTTAATAAGGTCTAATTCACTCTGGGAATATTTAAGTCGTGTCTGAGTTCCTTGGCATTGAGCACGCAACTGCTTCAAGTCAGCCTCCTTCCGTCTGATCCTCATTAAGTCCTGGGAAATTGTTAGGGTGGGAGAAAAAGATTTTTAAACAAAAGATGAACTGTTTGAAAATTATTTGTTTTTCAGATGTTAAAGCTAGTCCCACTGACCCAGGCCTCACTCGAGGTAAAGGCTGATAGCACAGGTCATATTCAATATTAATATCGTAACGGGTTTACTTCTCCCAAGAAAGTATCAAATTGCAGATTAAATGACAACTCCATCCCTCTTAAAAAAAGCCAACTAAAGGTATGACAAATCATTTTACACTGGCAGATTTTGGTTCATGCCAACATTCCCATGTTTACACAACCGTATTGTCATTTTTGTCAGAAGTCTTCAGGTACTCAACGTTTTCCTGGAGGGAGCTTGGACCAAAAGTGTTATCCTGCATTTCTGCCCGTCAGCTGAGAACCACGGCTAAGAACTGAGATGTTCATTGAGTTCACTGATAACTAGAAGAGGACAAACAGCTATTATGTCCTGTCTGCACTTTCTGGAAGCTTGGCAAATTATACTTTTAGAAAATCACCTTCCCAGAGGTGAATTAAGTTAGACACAGCATGACTTCTGCAGTTAAGTGCTTTTAAGAGACCTACCTTTAACTCATTAATCAAGCTATCTCTTCTTTCTTTCATTTTATTCATTTCTTTCTCATCCCAACATCTAGCTTTAAATCTTAAATCACTTGATCCTCCAGAAATCACTCCAGATTTCAAAAATAAAGTTCCATCAAGAGACACCGTCTGGAAGAAAATAAGTTATAGCCAAATAAATCTGAAAACACGCCAGCCAAAATATCCCTAGTGCCCACGATATGGTAGTAAAGACGTAACAAACACATTTGAGTTGGACTCAAATTTTTCTTTTCTCTTCCAAACCTGCTAACATGAGGCATTTAAAGCAAAGAGAAAGTCTGTTCCTTCTTAGGAGTAATCACATTTTGGTATGATTACAGCTGATCAGAAAAAAAAAAATGAAATTGTATCATTTCCTTGCATATAGCCCCTCGTGTATACACTTGCACTTAAAAGGTGTAGAACAGACACCTTTTAAATTTGGTAGACCAGACCAACGAACATGATAGCAGGGTAAAGGCAAACACCTTGTTTGTAAAGTGCAAGTGTACATTTTTATAAAGAACATGGGGGTTTTTGTGACTTTGTTTCAACTAAAAATGACTTCACTCTAACCTTCAACTTAAAGCTCTCTTAATCAAAATTTTAGACAGTTTATTAAGTGAATAAAATACTGTCTGCAGCAATAGAGACAGGAATAAGAAAGAACTGCAGGAAGTGACAGAGAAGCTTCCAGTCCTTAACATAATCCATATCTATAACTAAGATATTCTGGCAGATATTTTACAGGATTTTGAAAGCATTTCTTCAAAAGAAATCTTGCAAGATAAAGTCTGCATTTTTAAACCAGACAGTTTTAGAAGCATGATTATCCATCCCTCCTACTTCTCATAACTAGGACCATACAAGACCCATATTTGGACACTAAATATCCTTTCATTTGCCTCCTTCCTTTTCCCAGGAAACCGCTCCAACTTACTATCAGAGGAAAGAACAGCCAAGTGAAGTATCTAGTGATTTGTTTCTGGGGGATTAGACAAAAGAGTACCAACTGTGTTTATCTGCAATACTCCAGCATGTTTACAGAAGAATTATTTAATGGCATCAAACACATAACTGCAACGAAAAATGTATGCAACAAACTTTGGCTTCTCACTTTCAACCTCACTGGTCCATCAAATGCAACGTGTTTTGCTTCCTTAACTGTTTCACAGATCAAGGCATTTCCACTCACAAACTGAATCACTTTTTTCAGTGGAGCAAACTGTGTTTGTACAACATCCACCAACATTTTAGCCTCTTTTATCTCCCTTAACTTCTCGTTAATTGGTTTTACCTGTAAAGCAAACAACCAGTGTTTAGAATCCATGTTGTTAAAGCAAAGCATGTCCAAATCTGAGTAGTCTGGGGCAGGATGTACAGATCAATGCAACAGGGAGCTCAAACACTGCAAGACTAAAAACAGATCTGATGTTTACTTGCTCTCTACACCACTGTCCTTCAATCTGCAACCTATTGCATTACTATTTATGATTGCATTAAGATACAATTGTATAACCTGTGCATCAAATCAAAGGACACCAATACATGGAGAATAAACAAGAGAGTTCAAAATATGTGTGCAGTTGCAGGGCAACCACCTTGCCCAGAGAAGCTGTGGCTGCTCCGTCCCTGCAAGTGTTCAAGGCCAGTGGGTAAGAGCAACCTGGTCTAGTGGAAGATGTCCTTGCCCATGGCAAGGGTGGAAGTGGATGAGCTTTAAGATCCATTCTAAACCAAACCAGTCTGTGATTCTATGATTTTTGGGGTCAATGAGATGTGGTCTGCTAGTTCTTATAGCTGGAGCAGTGCTATGGAGGGATACAGGCTTTTTGGGAAGGACAGGTGGGGCAGAGACGAGGAGGTGATACAGCATATAGAACAGACTGACTGAGTTCTTTTCACTTCAGCCTCTACTTGCAAGACTAGCCCCTGGGAATCTAGAACAAGGAAGACATGTTCTTGAGAGAAGATGATCAGGTGAGGCACACTTAAGCAAACTATGCATGTAAATGTACGGGCCCTGGCATGATGCAACCAGCAGAGGATACCATTACAAGGCCACTTTCAATGTACCTTTGAATGATCATGGCAACTGAAAGAGGTGCCTAAGGATTAGGGGAAAACAAATGTCACTCAGCATTTGCTGATCACCTCAGCAGGCTGGCAAAGTGAGCCAACAGGAGCCTCATGAAATTCACTTCCCAAGTGCCTTAACACTTCAGCTCATTCTAGTTAACTAAAATGAGCCAGTATCAAGACTTGCAAGTGTATAAGCTTGCTGATGACAGGAGAAGGAAAAACAATACTTACATCAAGGTAATCCAAAGCAAGAAAAGTTTCAGGTTCAGCTCGTTCTTGTTTTAGGAACCGAATGCAATCTCTTGCTACTTTTTCAGTGGCAACAACAATAGCAGTCATGTATTTGCTGAACACCTTGGTAACAGCAAGCTGGTATTTTTTATGAATAGGATGACACAGGTCAAGCAATCTTCCGAACTGAAGATTAAAATACAGAGAAATATTAATATTTTAAATATAAAAAAATATTTTTGCACTCAAGATATATTTTCCTCTTACTGCTTCAGTATTATGTATCTACCAGCTGCACTCTCTCACAACAGCTGCACATCAAAAAAATAAATCACAGCAGTCATCAACCCAACTCATGAAGTATGGCTTCAGAATCTGAAAGGATCTCATTTTTTTCTCTAAGGTTACAGGTACATATCAATGTTTTACTGAGAATCTCTTTCATACACTTCTAGAAGCATGACAGAGTGACAAAGTTAGCTAAGCATGCTTTTTGGAGAGTAAAAATGTATCTAACACTAAGCAAGATCTTGAAATTACAATAACATCTTAAATAAATAGACCTGTTACCTGCAAAATGACAGCAAGAGGTACCATTCCAGTTTCAACCCAAAAATGAAGAAACATGAAAAGAATAAAAACTACTTTTCTTGTACTGCACAGTCTAAATAATCAAGCCTCTTTTGCCATGTGTTGAAGTAACACCTCTAGAGAGAAAATTAATTATAGTTCCTTGTTGCTCATGCTCCCTACAGACTTTCATTTCTTATGAAAATTAATTATAGGCAGAGTTGACTTTCTCTGAATGACCAAACCTACTGATGCACATTCTGAACATTATTACCTGTGAATTCATGCAAAAAAAAAAATTTCCTGCTTCTTGACATGTATCTACTCATCTCCTCTTGCATATCTATGGTTTTGTTCTTATCATATTTAGTACCTGCAGTGCTCACCCACCATTATAAGCAAGTTTTAACAGAACAGAAGCTGTAAGATGGATGTAGGAACAGAACATTTAGAAGTTGTCTGCTATTTTTGCCCATGAAATCCAGAAGACCAATACAAAAATTTCCTTCAGTTCTGTTAGTAGACCAGAAGACAAAATGTGTCTCAACCCTTTTTTCCTAAAACTGTGCTTTAGGTTGTGTTCACTCATCTGTCATTAGTACACCTGAGCATTAAGGAGCAGTTCAGAAACAGCTACATTGCCTCAGTATGCTGGTGTCAGGAAAACTACTGCAGGAACAAGGGTGACTGAAGCAGGCTGCACCAAGCCCTCCTGTAACAGGATAATTTATGCAATGAATTTGACTTCTCATTTCTGTTAGAAGCCATCCCATCTCTATGTACTCTTAAATTTGCAGTTCCTACAGGAAAATCCCAGAATATTCCTCAACACCTTCCCTAAGCCAATAAAGCATCACCATCTGATCCAGTCCTTTTCAAACAGGGATATAAAACAATGAGTGAGCAAAAAGAGATAAGCCAATCAATCCCTGGATTTTTTTGCACCACCTTGCTAACTTGGATGAAAAAATTCTGAAGAGCAGCTGAAAAGCAAATTTCTTACTCTCTGGAGAAAACAACAGGATCAGATGCTTGTCATATTCTGAGGAGGCTTTTGCAAAAGACCAAGAAGCAAAAAAACAACTGAAAACATTTCACTTTTTATGTTCTAAAGGCAACACTGCAAAGTTCAGTAAACATTAAAAAACACACAAAGAAAAAAAGATGGCCAGCTTGTACATCCCAAATGACTGTATATCAACAGGGACCAATTACACTGAGTCGTACTCAGAGGTCAACTATTTAATTGATTATATTTATTTACAATTTTCTATTTGAAATGACTTTCAGTGTTGGAATATATCTTTTAAATGTCACTAAAAATATGTAAAGATGCTTAATAAACCAGTTCATGTCTGCTAAAAATTCACAATCAATAGACAAAACCCTTAACTGCATTACAAAGTGTAATTTAAGGAAAATATGTAAAATATCCTAACTTATAAGTAAAGACAGACCATTTGATAATATAAAAATTGTCTTTCAGAAGCAGCATTTGTTCTGGAATAAATGGTCTCATAGCTAACATTCCCATTCATTTGTTCAAAATAACAAAGTCAAAAAGAAGGCCAGAAGAAAACAAAACCGAGTAAGGAAAAAATCAATTAATTAACACCATTACATCACACAATAACCAAATTACTATTTGATGAGAGCCTTAATTCCTTTATTTTTGGAACCTGTGAAAAATAATGACAGTATATGCTCTAATTTTTCCAGTAATACTATACACTCAGGCAAGAATAAAATATCAAAAAGATATTCCAGACTGTCCAATTTACTCCAGCTGCTTACTCAGTCTGTTGAAGAACTTTTAAGTCTTAACTCTAAAAGAAAGCATTTAAATGAGGCCATTCCATTACCACAGAATCCGGGTAGAGCCTTTTTAGACTTTCCAGGATCTCTGCTCTCATCTGCTCACGCCTTCCTTCATGGTAATCAATTTTGGCATTCTGCAGTTCACTAACTATTTTGCTCAAGTCTTCATTCACTTCAGCTGTTCGTATTGTTGCATTCTCAATTTCCTTAGCCAGCACTTCCTCCTGCTGTTTTTTTTCTGTTAGTGATCCACTTTGAACAGAAGCCAAAAAAAAAAAGCAATTCACAATTTCATTTATACACACTTTCAATATAAATTAAGGTCATTCTGCAATCACCTAACTTCACAAGCAGTAAATATCAGGCAGAAGACAAGACCCAGGAGACAAGAACCAAGCTCTGCTAATACACAATGTAAATAAATGTGTTTTCTAGAGCAGCACAACTACAAAACTCTCCCGTTTTCTTGCTCAGAATTCGTCCAACAATAGTCCCATACCCACAGTAATATAACTTGTGAGAAAATAGAACTATAGAACTGATTCAAACAAAATATGGATTAGTCATCATACTTCCTACTTTATTCTGACAGCCAAAGTGACTGAAATATTAAGTAAAATTAGTAAGAATTCTAGTTCTAATTAAAATTTCAAAGAAAATAATTAGAAGGAAGTAGAAACCTGCTACATTTTGAAACTGATTAATACCCAAGAAATCCAGTTAGCTTTTAATTTTTTTACACATACATGCATACTTTAGCATATTCTTCCAACTTCTCTATGCGTTTTTCATGCTCTTCTACCTGCTCCACAGTCTGTTTAATGGTTTCCTATGCAGTCACAAATAGCATGTGTTAGAAGTTATATCAGAGCAAAATGACAGTTTTAAGATCTACAGCTCTACATTAAGAACAAGTACTTAGATCTTTTCTTCTATATTGCTATTTCATGGTGAACTAACAGCACCTCTTTTGCAACAGTAGGTGCTAAGCTACACCTGAACCAATAACAGGGAAATTATTATACCAAGGCCATTATGGGATTTTCCATGTTCAGCTACAATTTAATGAAAGCCTTTTCAGCACAGAGAATCATGACACCAACAAATATAAAAAACTTTAAACAAAGCACCAGGAAATTATAGGTCTTGAAACAAAGAGGTGCTACTCTTGGCCCTACATCAATAGCTTTTTCCAAAGAAGTTTGACACAGTTTCTAAATTGACACAAAACATTGTAGTAAAAAAACCCCACCAATGGTAAAACAAGAATTTTCAATTACTCAAATTTATTTGAAACACATTAACTGAAGCAAGTGGAGAGGAAAAAAAAAATACTGCTACCTACACAGTTTGTTAAGCCTTAATTTAACCCCTCAACTCCTTGTGACCTTTTAAATAGTTCTAGGGATGGAGAGTTAGAGTTCTTGCACCCACCACAATGTTTGCATATACATATTTCATGCACTCTTAAGTAATCCTTATTCCTTTCTCAACAACACAATGGGACTTGCTCAGTTTAGGCAGCACTGGCAATGGAATTTATTTCACTTCTGGATACTAACTACATTTTCCCGGTAACTAGTAATTCAGAAAGAAATTGTATTTTATGAAGAAAAAATGGATATACAAATATTAGCTTAGCTATTATGGTAAGGATAACTTTATATCCTCATAAACATGGAGTAAAATACAGACTTCTCCATAGAAACAAGCTTATATGTTCAAGAATGAGGTGTCTGGAGCTCTATCACTTGCATCACTCATATGATGCATTTTTAAGCTTTCTGAACAACAGTCTCCCTCAACCTTGACTCTGTAACTAAATGCTGAAGAAATGCATGTTACCTCTCTAATTTCTGAGAGATGACAAAAATGCAAGTGAGTTAAAAAAAAAATACAGCCAGAAAACCCAAAACACCCAACAGGACAAGGTTTCCAGCAAAACAGAAATGCTACATAGTGTTCTGCCCTTTTTACTTCTATCCAAAGCAAACAACAGGCACGGTAACCAAGCCAGAGTGAAAAATGCACATATTTTGTTCTTATATGTTTGGATCTGCAATGATAAAACATATCACAATCAAAACAACTGCAACTGTATTCACACAAAAAAATGCCTCTGAAGTGCAAGAGAAGAGTGGACACTGAGATTTTTCCAACTACAACACATTCTTACACACAACTGACCTTAAAACCATCTCAGCAAAGAGACTGCTGTGATGAAAATACACTTCTGCAGGGTTTGAGTGCCACACATACATACAGCAGCCATGGGACACCTCAGAAAGATTACATTCACAAAACCAGAGACTGATGACCATTAAGCCAATGTTCTGAGTACTTGTAAAATATCAGTCAAAGCTTTCAAACCCAAATCCTCAGTGTGGGCCCACGCAAACCATTTCTGAACAAATTTAGAGACCATTTTGCTAAACCTGCTGCAACATGGGAATCTGAGTTAACACTTCCAATGTACCTCTCTTCTGCTGAGGATTTGATTACATCAAAGCACTGAACATGTTTATATACAGTTATACCCTAGAGAATGGCAGAGACATATTTCTCCTAAAAACCTAATTCTAGTTTGATACAAATACCTCAATTTCATTTTTCTTCCTGCGATTAAGTTTCAGCCTTTCTTGATCTCCTTTATCCTCCCAACGAAGTTTTTCTAGCTGCTGGGCTATTATAGCTACTTTCTTTCTTGCCATTTCCTTTAGCTCTCTGTACCGCTCTAACTGGACAAAAAGAAATAAAAAAATTCACTCCTTGGAAAGCTAGAAAACTCACCTTATTACACCCCTAAGTAACTTTACCTACCTAAATTTTATAAAAACTACCCAATTCTCCAGAAGACTCTTGTAGCTCCTGAATTGCTTTACAACAACCTGATCTTTTTTACATTAAGTTTCAATTCAAAGCTTACACCTACCAGCTCTCACCTACAGTTGTTTTTTATCCTTTTTTATTACTCTTATTGTTCAGGGAATCTTATAGTACTTCCCATTCAATCTGAAGATTAACACTATGTTATGGTATAGCCCAAAATCAGTGCAGTATTTTCAGCATTCTCATGTTATTAAAAGAAATTCATATAGCAATTGATATATAAATATTTTAAACAAATCTGCTGAGTGATGACTAACTGACCAAATGCCTCTAAAGTGCAGTGCAGGAAGATTCACAAACTAAGGCAGCAACCCTGCAGGCTCTCCATTAATTGATCAGAAATTATTTTAAAGAAGAGACAGTGGAAAAAAGCTATCACTTAGTTTTACAAACATTTGTGGCCATATGGTTGCAAAGAAAAATTCTTTGCAAGTGAATTTACTATCAAGGGATGTAGCCCTTTCCTTCTCAAAGGAGCTACCCCAGTTAAAAACCCAGAGAAGATGGTATGTGTACTACCAGGTCTTCATTGGTTCCCCCTAATTGATACCTCAGATGAAAAGCCAGCTCTCAAAAATCACTCACCCTGAGAACCTGACAAAGGTTTTCTGTCCTGCCCTCCCACAGTGTACCATGCCTAAATAAAACTTAGAATTTTGGTTTTATCTAAGTTCAAGGGCAAAAAGATCACTAAAAATCACAGGTAATTAGTGAAATAAGTTTCTGTGTAATCAGGAGTATTTTTGGAGTTTTCCAGTAAACAGTACTTTTGGGCCTCCTGGTTTACCTGACTTTCTCCCAGCTCAATATCTGCTGCTCTCTGTATTCTCTCTTCTCCAATTTTCTCCTCAAACGCTCTCCATGCCTTCTCAATATCATTCAATTCCATCTCTAGTTCTTTTATGTTCTGCTTTTCCTTATCACAGGCTTTCTCCTTGTCCCTTAGAGATTTTTTAGACATTTCTACTTTCTTGATTTGGTAGGATGTGTTTTCCTTCGCTTTTATATAGAGGGGTCTCTGCTGAATCAGTGACGCCTCCAGAGTCCTAAAAAACAAAACCAGAAACAAGCCCAAAACAACCAACCCCAAGCAACCACCACAAGGCAGCCAAAACTGCAAAGCCACAGGGAAAGGGGAGAGAGAAGACAGAAAAGACACTCCCTCCCCCTCGCTGCCCACATATGCAAACAATCAGTTTTAAACTGTAAGGTTAGGGCTTACACTGTGGATATGCCCACAAAGGATTTTAATACACAGTAAAAACAATAATTTCAGAAGTGAAACATAACCTCCTAAAATTTAATAGCAAACAAGTATTTATATAATGAAATATATAACTAGGCATGGTATAGGAGTCTGGATTTTCAGTGAATTGCTAGGAACTGACTTCCACAATACTGGACTATCAACCAAATTTCTACCAGGAAATGCACACCTGCCAAGCAACTCCCAGTGCAGATAATGCTTTATTCAACTATCACAATCTCATTGGAAAACCTACTTAATTTCTTTTTCCATATGCTGTTGGTCCCTGTTTAGCATCCCAAACATTTTCTTCTTGACTTTAAAAGAATCTTCTGCTGTAGAAAGAGCCTCTTTCTTGATATGAGCCTCCATATTCTTTTCATCCAAATTGTTTTTCAGAAAGTTAATTTGTTTTTCATTGTGATAAAGCTGAAAAAGCTGCAGCTGTATCCTTTCTTCATCCAGTTCCTTGAGTAACATCTGGTAATGCTCTGCCTACCAACATTAAAATTTAATTTATAGTTTATAAAAAGTATTTTCCATCATTAGTCTAATTTCAAGGCCAAAGTGATGTAAGATGGTGTACAAGTAGCTCTAATTCCAGTAATGGTCACTAATCATAAAACTCAAATATTGAAGTCAATATTTTAATTAATTATACTGGCAAGCCTATACTTTCTTTTATTTAGATTACATGTATCCCTGTACCTTTTCAAATGATACTAAATTATTATATAGTATGCCATACTGAAAAAACTACTAGACTAAAAACAAAAAAAGGTTGTGGGCTTGTTTTGTTGGTTTGTTGTGCTTTTATAAACACTACTGAAGTTCACAAGAGATGCAAAATCTGGCAACTTAGCATGAAAAAACTGAATAACTTTAAGCTACCTCCTCTTTTTCTATCCTTGCTTGTTTGCGTTCTACTGCCACACTTTTTTTCCTGTTATAATTAAACTGTGCATCCTCTTCTGCTTGCTGCATTTTCTTCTTCTTTTTTTCATAGTCTTCAGCATATTCCCATGAATTACTGATTTGTTCAAAAAGTTGAGTTCTCTCCTTCGGCTTCTTCATTGCAATCGACTCTACTGTTCCCTAAACCAAAATTGAAAATAAATTATGCAACATCACATTTATACATATTTATACCAATAAATAAATTTATACATAAATAATTTATGTAGGTAATTCTGATACCTTATGAGTTTAGGAGCATATAGTACAGATTGACCTCTGTATTTATTTACTGTCAACATAGCTGGTGGAAATGCATCTAGATTCGCATCAAGGAAAAATTTTGTGCAAAAATGAGGATCACCTAGCCACTCAGATTTCTATAGCTGTTTCTGTAAAAGGGAAAAATCCATTCTTCCTTAGGAATTTTTGTCAGCAACTCTAAGTAAGATGATTTTGTGAAATGGATTATTCATCAAAAGCTTAAGGCCTATGTCATTAAATTATTGGAAACTAACAGCTGAATAGAATTTTCAACCCCTCAATCTTAAAAAAAAATCCTTTACATTTTCCTGTGTCTTTACTAACAGGAGTATTTTAAGATGAAATTACTTTTTCCTAGTACTCCTGCAATTAAATACACTAAGCATTTATACAGACCCATACTTTTCTATATATTGTGAATAACAAAAGCACTCAACTTCTTCCAGATTACCCTCTTTCTTACTAGTGTATGCATTTATACACAAACCCCATTAAGTGTATTTTGTAGCCTTGTAGTTCTTGGTAAGGTCAATAAAAAGTGTGCTGCCTTGTAGCTGGCTAAGGGTGCTCTCATTTCTAGAGAATATTTGACTGTGTACTCTATGAAATAACCTAAGAACATTTAGTTTTCTTTTGAAAGTACCTTGAATGCTCACCTGAAAAATAAGGCAATTCCTGGCCTTGACAAGAACGCCTATTTTCTCAAGCTCAGATATGTATGCAGATCGGCTGACAAGCTTGTCATTGAAAAGAAACTCAGAACAACTACCTAAAGGAGGAAAGGAAAAAAAATACTGCTGAAAATGGCTACAACAAAAAACTCCACTGGAACAAAGTTAAACTACTGGAATAATTTAACTGAGCAATTTTCTCAAAGAAGACAATAGATTTCAGTTACTCCTTTATTCCTTTCAGTAATTTATTTTTCCTGTTTAAAAACTCTACTTTCCAATTTTAGTACTTTCTAGAGGAACTGACACCTGCACAAGGTGTCAGACCCCATTTCTTAGAGGCTATATCACCTACAGACCCCAAGGAAACATCTAGAGACGGATATTGAGCAAAGAACATAAAATAACTTAATTTTTTAACTAATTAACCCAAATATATTTTTTCATTTATATCACTACTAAAATGCTATCTGAAGGACTATACTAATCTGCACAACTATCAACTAATACTGGGCATCTGAAATTCTAACTTGGGTATTTTTGGTCTCCATTTCTTTATACATCAGACAGTACATGCAGCAGAATTCACTACCTACCATGGATAACTCTTGAAAATGTTTTTTCTTCCCCATCTTCCTCACAATATACTATCTTCACACTAGCTGTGGAAGAAACAGGCTGCCCAACATGTGCTCCATGAATAAGTTCTCGAACACTTTTAACTCGCAAATTTGATGTTTTTTCACACATCACAAAGCTAACAGCATCCATTATGTTAGATTTTCCTTAAAAATTAAAAAAACAATTAAGAAATTTTTGACACAACATAAATGGAAGCATATTATTAAGAAAACTGCCAAATTCTTTAAAAATTCTATTTCTAATTAATTATTCCTTATTCTTTTAGGAAGAAATTCTTCTCTCTGAGAGTGGTGAGATAGTGGCACAGGTTGCTCAAAGGAGGGGATGCCCTACTCCTGGAAGTGTGCAAGGCCAAGCTGGATGGGGCTTGGAACAACCTGGTCTCGTGGAAGGTATGACAGGGAGGTTGGCACTAGGTGAGATATGAGCTCCCTTCCCACTGAAACCGTTCTAGGATTTGGGGATTTTATTGAGGAAAAGCTGTTGCACATTTTAAAGATGTAACAACACACTGGCAGCAGAAAATAAAGCCTGTCCGTAGTAAAAATTATGACAAAACTGATTTATTTTTCCAGCCTTACTGGAGAAATCTTTTTGTCTTTTACACAGGCTTCTCTAGAGGAGAGCGTGCCACATCACCCCCCTTCCTTGGCAGCGTGCTTTCTGGAGGGAAGTGAGGGAGGTTTACTGCATGAGCACTCCCAACTTTTCCACTGCAGCTCCAATCTCCTGAAGAATATTAGCACTTTCCTAAATCCATTCACCACAGCAACAAAGCTATCTGGTCATAGTTCTCTGACAAAAACCTTCCTAATGGAATCCTCTTTTTGTTTTATCCCTTTAGTGTTGAACATTTCTGCTGACAACTTAATTATTTTCAGTCTTCAACCTTGCTACTTTGACAATATTTTGACTTACTCTCCGAAGTATCAGAAAAGCAAGAACACTAGGAGGAAAATAGAGAAATAAAAACACTCAATTCAGGGATTATGTAATATTCACACCTTTTATTCCCCTGGATTAATCTATAAAATGTACTCAGATTTAACTGAAAGAGCACCTGGAAAAATATCACAGTTCTGAGACTTGACAATACAGAACAGTAGGGATAGGATGACAAAGAACATGATAACGATCCTAAATATATTCAACTTACATTCACAGATCTTACTTCAATCAGGTAAGTGAGGAAACCACAGGGTCTAAAATCTGAATTATACACTACATCATTAACAGACTGGGGAAACACAAGTGAAATGTTAAACCCATCCTTGCTGCTCGGTTATGACAGCCCTCACCTATCACTTTGATAAACAGACATAAAATCCCTTTTGTTGAATGGAGCCTTCTGGAGCAGAGATCAAATGTTAGGAAGTTCCAGCACCTTGGGATCACCGCGCTCCTGCGCCGACAAAGCCTGGCCAGCGCGAGCCCCCTCACGGCAGCCGCCATTTTGCAGAGGTCTCGCCCCTTCCCGGAGGAAGCGCAGCAAAACCCAGACTCCCGTCAAGAAGCAGGCTTCCAGGTACAGCCCGCAGTGTTAAGATAAAACCATCTTTATGTGATCTTTGTAAGCTAAGATGGCCAAGACAAGCTGTGCTGTTTGCAAACTAGGCTTTCTGCTTAAGCTGGGAAAGCACCAAGTTAACACGAAATTAAAATTCCCTGAACGCCCTTTCTCGCCCCCGCAGCCTGCTCCTGCCCTTCCATCTGGAAAAACCCATACCTTCAGCTAAGAATTACAGTGCAGGTGTTTCCTATGCTTCGTTTATACTGCCACACCTTCAGGTGCACATGATGAGATTTTCAGCAGGTCCGTGAGGCTGAATTCCACCAAAATCAGCCCTTAATGTTGACAGCTCATGGAGCAGCTGCCCGCTACCCACACACCCACCCACAATACCTGAACCATTGGGCCCGATGATGCAGTTGAACCTCATGAAGGGTCCGATAACCTGCTGCCCCCTCCACGACTTGAAGTCCTTTACCACCAGCAGCTTCAGGTAACCCATCCCCGCGGGGAGCAGGGGTCAGGAGCTCCTCAGCTCCACACCTCAACCCCCTCAAACAGTCGACAACGATACTTCACCAGTAAGTTTACCGACAGAGAAGTACCCCTAACCCTCTCCCACGATTTTATCGCCTCAAAGGGACTGGCGACCCCGCCCCGCCCTCACAGCCTGCGCGCCTCGTGCAGCGGCCCCGCCCCGCGGTGCCGTTCGGGAGTTGCCGCTCCCGTTCCCCTCGCGACGGGCCGCACTGTGTCCCGGCTGGCCAGCGCCGCCGTCCCGCTGTTCCCATCGCGACGGGCTTTCCCGTGTCCCGCCTGGCCAGCGCCGCTCCCGTTCCCTTCGCGACGGGCCTTCCTGTGTCCCGGCTGGCCAGCTCCGCTCCCGTTCCCATCGCGACGGGCCGCCTTGTGTCCTGGCTGGCCAGCGCCGCTGCTCCCGGCTACCGCTCTCACTCCAGCCCCGCCGTCCCGCTGTTCCCTCCGGTGCCATGAGCGGGCTGGGGCCGCAGCGGGAACTGGAGGAGGCCGCCGCCCTGGAGCGCCGGCGGCGGAGGGAGCTGCTGCGGCGGACCCGCATCTTCAACCCGCGGATCCGCACCATAGGGGTGAGGGCGGGCAGGACGGGAGGGAAGGCGCCGTGTTCCCCTGGATTCCCAGGAGCTCTGAAGAGAATGGCGTAACGCGGGGATCGCGGGGGAGACCCCCAGTGCGGGGCAGGGAGGGAAGGGGCGGCTGAGCCGGTGCCCCAGTGCGCCCTCCTCAGGTGTGTGTGTGTGTGAGGGGCAGCCAGCAGGAAGGGAGGGCCCAGATGCAACTTTCAGAGTCGCGTTTAAAGTTATTGGTGAAAGAAATCATAGAATATTTAGGGTTGGAATCAGTGGATCTGTGAAGATCATCCACTCCAACCCCCCAGCCACGGCAGGGTCACCCAAAGCGGGTGGAACGTGCCCAGGTGGGTTTGGAATATCTTCAGGGGGAAAGACTCCATGACCTCCCTGGGCAGCTGTTCATTGCTCTGCCAGCCTCGATAGAAAGAGGTTCTTCCTCCTGTTGAGGCAAAACTTGCTGTGTTTTACTTCATGGCCATTGTTTCTCCTGTGTACCTGTGCCCCACGGCTCTGGATTCAAGGGCAAGGTGTCATTGCCCCCTACCAGCACAGAGAGATCAAGCCCTGTGTTGTATCTCTGTGTAGTAGTACTTGGATGGAAGCCAAGAGCTTCCAGAGTCAGTTCGTGTAATATGGCTGAGGCAAGTAATTGTTTTTTACCTCACTCCTTTGTGATACTGCCCTTTTCTTCCTGGACCTCGCTAGAATTGATGCTGTGGGAGATTTAGTGCTGTAAGTGTCCTGCAATTAGTCCACATTTTGTATCAGACAAAATAGGACTGATCCATCCTTGTTTATATATAATTGTTATTAATATAATTATAATTAATTATCAATATAATTGTAATCAATACAATTACATATATAATTGTGATTGTTGTGTCTGATTTTTCTTGGCGTGGATGTGTAAATGTGAACACGCTTCCAGCTAGTGGGTTTTCTCCAGAGTTTACTATGCAGTTTGAGCCTGAACATAGGAAATAATGTGCTCTATACCTTTTTGACTTTGGATGCAATAGTATTTTGAATATGCCCGTGATATGTCCAAAGGCCCACATTAAGATTTTGTGAGCATGCATGGAGGGAAGAGTTCTGTGAGGTGATTTCACTGAACTGGTAAAATTGCAACAGATGTCAATTGGATCCTCTTAGGTACAGAAACATGTCTCAAGTCAGTGGAAAAACATGTTCACCTTATCTCTGACAAGGCCTTGAATTTATTGTTTTCACTCCTATGCAAGAGTCATTGTATCTGCAGAGCAATTAGCAGTTCCCACTTACCGAACCTGAGAGGTGTATGGGTCCACCTGGTACAGCATCCCAGCACACACCAACAATATACCTAAGTACCCAACAATATACTTCAGTGGAAGGAGCTAATAACATTTTTTTAGCAGTTGTGGTATAGGTTAAGATACTTGAAATTTCTTCATCAGAAACACATACTTTCTCTATAAAGTGGCTTTTCTAGAGCTTTAAAAATGAGCTGCAAACTAGATTCTCAGTTAATGAAATAGCTGACAAATCACATATCCTGGTGTGTTTTATTGAGCTGTGCTAAAGTACACCATCTGAAGGTTTTACCCAAATACTTTTGTAGAATTGACTTGTTTTGTCGAACTGACTCAGGTAGGTTTTGCTAGATCTGTTCACATTAGACAAACATCTAAAATGAAAGAGAGTTCGTCTGGAGAATTTTGATTAACAGCTTCTTTTGATTTAACATCATTCAATGTACCTGAAAAATGATGCTGACAGAAGGGACTGTTCTTATGGTTTGAAGTTAGGCCGGGTCTGAACCATAAAGAGCCAGGAAATCCATACAGAGATATTCTACATCAGTATTTCTGTGTGGTTTTATGATTCATTGCTTCAGTTCTCTGACCAGTTTACCTGAGTGGCAATTGCTGAGAAAATTTAAAAATCAAGACAATATTTGACTTAGAAACCAAAAATCCTAAAGCAGGGTTTGAATATTTTAAAAACATGGAGGTAATACACTGGAAAGCAGAATGAGAACCCAGATTTTCTATTTTTTCATTGATTATTACTAGTTTTTTTATTGCTTTGACTTCTGTATCTGTTTTGTCATCTGAGTAATGGAAAAATAAGGTAATGCCCTCTTCACTTAGAGATTGAAGAATCTATCCTCAGTAAACCACTGATTTTTCTAGAGAGTTCAGATGAGTAATCCAAATGAAATACTACTTTCAATTTACATGTAAACTTTAGACATAAATAGAACAAGTTTAGAAATTAGCTGCCTCAAACTGTTCATAGATTTCTTATTTAAATGCTTAAAAATGAAACCTATAGTTTTATGTGACTGGGAATGTTGGTTTTAGGGATGTTTTTGTGTCGAGTGAAAAAGTGTCAAGAGGTCAGAGCCAATAGTGTAACACAAGTCGATTCACTGACCTACCTCTATTATTGCCAGAATACTGAGAACTTGTATTGAATTTCTCTTAACAGTATTTCCTGTAGTTATATTGTCAGCTTGGCTTTCCCAATGAGACCTCTGAAAGAGCTGATATTTAGAGTCTGCAACAGCATTGTTTTTGGAGGATAGAATTCTTGATGGTTTCAGCCTTGCTTACAAACTTACCTCTTTGCTTGATGGCTCTTGTCGGTTGTCCTTTACAGCACTAACCCTGTCTATTTTCAGCCATGATCTGTTTCTGTTTTCATCTGAATAGGTTTTAGAAAAAGAGTATTAAAATTGTTTAAGATTCTTGAAGACATTAAGTGACTTGTCAGTAAAAAAAAAAAAAAAAAAAAAAAAAAAAAGAAGTAAAATCCACGTTTCTGCCTGTTAATTTGCCACAATCTGCCAACAAATGTGGGGCCACATTCTTTTGCCCAAAATGGAGCTCCCATTTGATGATGTGGCCTGTATTATCCTTTGCTCAGGTCCCACTTGCCATGGATGTGGATGTTCTGTACCATATCTGTCAGCTCATCACAGATTGTGTATCCTGTAGTGCGTTTTGGCAACCATGTGAATCTCTCTGATAAGACAGGAAACATTGTCATTCATTTCTTATACTGAACTCTTTGTATTTTTTTCAAATATGAACTATTACAACCTCTTGTCATCTTTACTGTTAAAATACTTACCTGCTTTGTAAATGAAAGCAGAACAATAAAATTGCCAGCTGTAGTGGGAAAAAACATATTCTATGTAATGCAGCTGAAAATATTTATAGCTCTATGTATCATGTAAATGTGGTGTTTTCATCTGATCAGGTGCAAGAACATACCTATCATTATTAAAACAAAGCAAACAAACAAGAATATTTCTGTTTCTGGATTTTTTTTGCCCACATTCGTAATGTGTATATATTCTGTTGCTAGTGGGATTATATCTATTTTGTACAACTGTGAGTCAATGTAGCTTGACAATACCTGTTTTAATTGTTCAAACACAGTATCTCCTAAAGAGCTGCCTTTTTTTTTTTTTTCATTTTAATAGATTGATAAAGATGCATTGGATGCACAGGTCAAGGAGAGGAAAATTCAAGAAGCAGCTGAAAAAGCAGAACATGAGAGATTCGGTATATTCCTAGATACTGTGATATTTCTGTGAATAGTTAAATGTTTTAATCCGTTTCTTGCTTTCTTTTTCCCTTCATATATTCTCTAAATTCAGTCATCCTATTTATGTTCATGCATCTACATTGGCACAGTGTGTATTCTCCTTGTTATCTTAAGATTTATACTGACATGATTAAACTGGAATACATTGCCTAATAGGCCAGAATTTTCAGAGTTTTCTTTTAAAAGGTATTGATGAACAGCATGATTTAAAAACCTGAATATGCATCAGCATTAAAAAGAAATAAAATTAAATTTTTACCACTGTCCTTTTCAGTATGGTGGTAGCTAATCTGTTTAGTTGTTTCATGTTTTAGTCTTCTGTCTAGCCATTCTTCCACAGAATATATAGATTCTATGGAATCCTCTCTAGATTGTTATTGCTGGAAGCATGAGTCATATACAGTAAGGTGATAAGAGAAGCCATTGCTGAGTCAGAACTTGCAGCCACACAAATATTTCATGCTGTGCCCTGACCTCAAACCTTTTGTGGTCTTCTGTGCTTGGGATGCTTTCCTGTGCTATCAGATGAAAGGGTCCCACAGCCTGAGCTCTCTGTGTGCCTCAAGAGGAGCTAAAATGGAGCTGCCACTTCCAGCTGCTTGTGATTTTCCTGGCTGGAAAATACACCTGTCAGGGTTTGACTCCTGGGAAACTACCAGCAGCAATGTGGAGTCTGGCAAAAGAGGAAAAGATATTTTCTAGCAAATTATTGTAAATAACTAAAATGGCTAGTTGGGTGGGAGTTTTGTTGTTTGTTTTTCTTAAAAATGCTGAAATTTATTTAGTTCCAATTAAATGGGCAGGAGCTCTTAAGCTGTTCAAAACTTAATGCCAGCCAATGATTTTAGTGCTATGGTTAGAAAAATCATTGGAACTACGGAACAACTACCTATATTCCTTTCAGTTGCAGCCCAATTTTGGTGTGCTTCCTGGTAAGCAGCAATGTTTTTCAGCTGTAGCTGTAAACTGAGAGTAAATGGGAGCAACTGGTTTACTGTTCATTGTGTAGCAGGTTTTCACCAAACAAAACTTCATAGTTCTGGTACTTATTATTGTATTTGTTTCACATGCACATATTTCATTGTAACATTAATAAAATACTTTATGCCTAAAAAGCTGAAAATATTGCATAAGTAAATATTACTAACTTTAAAATGTTTGCTGGGCTGGTACTTATGGATCAAATACTCTCCTAAGGCATAACAGTTTGAAGATTTATATTCTGTGTATTCATCTGGAAAATTTTATTTTCACCTTATGTGTGCACTCCAATGACTCATGCACCTCTAAGAGTTGTGGTTTCATTGTGTTCATTTTTGTCTAGCTCATGACATGAAGAAAAATGACAAGCTCATGTGTCTGCTAGAAGAACGCCAGAAAAATGAAATCAAAGACATGAACAGGGCTCTAACTGAATTTCATAAGAATTTTCAGAAGCCAGAAACAAGACGTGAATTTGACCTGAATGATCCACAAGCCCTAAAGAAAGACAGACCTGCTCGAGTTTCAGATGATGATCCTCGGTGTACTATATCTGGCATGCAGAAATTTATGGGTGAAGACTTAAACTATGATCAGAGGATGAAGTTTCAAAAGGAGCAATTGAGGGAGTGGTCTCTTCAGCAACAGAAGGACTCAAAAAATGCGTTAGCCGACCAAAAATTGGCAGGTAACAAAAAAGTTAATGTAGTTTTAATCTTCTTTTTTTGAAGTTGTGGTGTATTTGATGAAAATATGGTATTGTATATTTAACTTAGAAATACTAGACCAGTTAGAAATACTAGACCAGTTTTTACTTTATAAGCTTTAATGTATTCACTATTTCTCTTAGGAAGTCTCTATTTCATAACATGTGGTTGTAATATCACCCAGGTTTCATTTCTGGTTTGTGCCTCTAGTTGGTATGCTTACTTCATCAGGCCAAACTGTCTAATCCCTACTGTCCTAGAGAAGAAAAAATAATACTGATTTTTCTTTCCCAGCTTGTCATGAAACATTACTTTCTGCAGTACTTAATATACTTCTTTCATTTTAACACTGACTGTTTAGACAAGATAGGTTACATATTAAACTGATTCATGAGTCACCTGAAATCCCAAGATGGACAGCTTTGATGGTAGGATTTGGAAATAGTTATTCAGCCTACTGTGTCTGTAGCTCCCCCCTGCCCCTTCTCCTGGTTAACTCATATGGCACATCATTTCCATGAATATTGACTATGTTTTATTTGAATCTAATTTAGATGATCTTTATGACAAGTTTAGGATTGAACTTGACCGAAAGATTATGGAAGAACAAAGAAAAGAAGAGGAAAGCAGGCGTGCTGTTTGTACAGCTACTAAAAATTTCAACAGAATCCAGGTAAATTAATACTAAGTTGGTTTGTTGTTTTTTAGAAAATGTGGAGACAGAGAAGGAAAATAAGATGGACAAAATCAGAATGAGTAGTGATGTTTTCAATGGGGGTTTCTTATCACCTGACTTTCAAGGCTGTTTCATCTTGGAACAAGATAAATTTTACGCACTTTGCCAAGTGAGCAATCGATCCAAGGATTTAGACGTCTTCTATCTAGTTATCCTCTGCCAAAATTGTCCCTCCTGGTTCTCAGCTTGACTGGTGGGCAGAAACAGCTCCCCAGTTATTCAGAGGCTTTGAGCTGGCAAAAGCCTCCCATGCTTCTTTCTGGGTTTCCATCAGACCTCCCATACTCTTATTGTGTCTGTCTGCTTTTCTTTGCACTTGTGTGGAAACATTGGTAACAATTGCTTGTTGTCCTTATTGTTTACATTAATTTCCCACAACCACTGCTTTTGGCTCTTCAGCTGCTTCATGAGTATTTGTGTACAATGTCACTTGGTTGTTAACTGACCTTGCTTTGGAGCCTGTCTTAGTACCATTACCTGTCATGCTCTAGTTCTTCGTCTTACTGCAGAGGGTTTTCTTCTTTTCAGCTTCTACATACAGCTCAAAGGGCTACGTGGATGCTATTAGCTTAAACTGTATTTGTTGTGACTGAGCTTTAAATGTATTTATCACATCAAAATAAACCACATTAGAATTACCTACATTAAGTATGGTACTTTTTGGTTTAGCTCTATAAGCATGCAAGTCTTTAATGTTGCTTGAGCCTTTTGGGGGGCATTTGTCATATAATTTTTTATAATTGTTTTTAGACAGCCCAGGTTAATTGAAAATCAAAATCTAAATGTACAGGAGCAAGCCATCCCCATGCACTGAAAGCCAAGCCAGTGATGAACACCAGCCTGGCTGAACAGACAGCTTTGGCTGGAACTCAGTGAGAAAAAGAGAGTTTATTACCTTTGGAAGAAGGGGCAGGCAGCTCAGAAGGACTGCAATAATGTTACAAGGTCATGCAGGGAGAAAATTAGAAAGGGCCAAAGCCCAGCTAGAACTTAATCTGGCTACTGCTGTCAAAGACAATGAAAAATGTTTCTAAAAACACATCAGCAGCAAAAGAAAGGCAAGGATAATCTCTGTCCTTTGTTTGGAGGGAAACATAGTGACAGTGCATAAGGAAAGGACTGAGGTACTTGATATCTTCTTTGCTTCGGTCTTCAGCAACCTGAGCTGGAAGGCAGGGACAAGGACCAGAATGAAGCTCCCATATTCCAGGAGGGAATGGTCAGAGAACTTCTATGCAACTTAGATCCACAAAAGTCCATAGGGTCAGATGGGATCCATCCAAGGGTACTGAGGGAGCTGGTGGCAGTGCTTATGGAGCCACTTCCCATCATTTCCCAGCAGTGCTGGCTCACCAGGGAGGTCCCAGCTGAAGGGAAGTTGGCCAGCGTGACACTCCTGCAGGAAGGGCTGGAAGGAGGATCCAGGGAGCTACGGGCCTGCCAGCCTGACCTCGGTGCCGGGAAAGGTCACGGAGCAGATCCTCTCGAGTGCCATTGTGCACCACGTGCAGGACAAGCAGGGCAGCAGCCCAGCCAGCCAGGGTTTATGGGTCCTGCTTGACCCACCTGATCTCCTGGGCAGAGTGACCCCTCAGTGGATGTGTCTGCCTGGACTTTAGGAAAGCCTCTGACACTGTTTCTCCCAGCATTTTCCTCATGGCTTGACAGGGACACGCACTGTTCACTGGGTAAAAGACTGGCTGGATGTCTGGGTCCAGAGAGTGCTGGAGAGTGGAGCTACACCCAGCTGGGGCCAGGCACCAATGGTGTTCCCAGGGCTCAGAACTGGGGTCAGTTTTTTAATGTCATCAACAATGACCTGGACAAGGGAATCAAGTCACATTGTAGATGGCACCAAGTCTTCTGGGAGGTAGGAAGGCTCTGCAGAGGGATCTGGACAGGCTGGAATAACAGGCCCAGGCCAGTAGTCTGAGTTTTAACAAAGCCAAATTCTGGATTTTGCACTTGGGTCACAGCAACCCCCTACAGCTCCAAGATGGGGACAGTGGCTGAGAAATGTCTGGCAGGAAAGCCTTGGGGTGCTGGTGGCTGAATATGGGCCAGATGTGCCCAGGTAGGCAGGAGGCCAGTAACACCTGGCCTGGATCAGAAATAGTGAAGCCAGCAGGACTTTGGCTAGACAAGATAAATCTGATGTGTTTTCAGACTTCAAAATCTTTCTTGTCGTTAATCATGGCATACTAGTGTGGCATTCATGGCTATGCCTAGGGCTGGGAGTTTCCTCCAGTAAGATTCTCAGGCAGCTTGGAAATTTTATGCTCTCCCACTTAAAGAGAAATCTGAGTTACAATGTCGAAGTGCCTTGTTGCTAGATCACAGTGGAGTGACATTAAGAAAGTGATCTAAATAAAAATTGCACATTTTAAGCTTCAAGGCCAGCAATTATGTGGGATCCATTCAAAATTATTTTCTGTTAAATGTGATTTACTCTAGAGCTTTTTCCAAACTACAAATAATTCCTTGATTCATAGTATTAATAAGAGAAAAGTACATACCCAGATGTTCTGGTTCAGTGTTCCAAAAATATTGGATGATTTAATATCTTTGGGCATTTGGGCTTTAAAAGTAGTCATGTCACCGTTCATTTCAGGTACTTATTGACTCTTCTTGAGGAAAAAAAACCAAAACAATTCAGGAAAATACTTTTTGAATTTAAAAAAATTTCTTAAACCTTCTGGTAGAAGTCATACTCACTAATACCAGAGATGAAAAAGTGGCCTTTAATTCCTGCTGTATTATTCCATGTTATGATGCTGATGATTCCTAGATCTGAACTTGATGTTTGTCACATGAAACTTGATTTTCTTGAGGTTTTCCATTTGTGTAAAAGTAGGCTTTTTTTTTTTCCCTCCATAGTTGATGTTCCTGTTAGCTCTAGACATTTCTAAATCCAAGGTTTTTGCCATTGTCTAAGCTGAATTGTGGCTTAGCTAATGTACAATTAATTGGACATCTCCTGTCTGTGTGTTTTGAGGGCTTACCCATGCTTTTCACCTGGATTCAGTGTGTAATATATAAATCAAGTTTAGTGATTTGAGAGTGTAAATTTTTATTGTAAATTTCTTCCATGTTGTGTTTGTCTGCTAAATATGTCCTGGTTATTTACTTGAGGATAAATGTGGAATTATTTTTTATTTAATTCTGTGTTTTCTTATAAAACAAAGTTATTTTCCCCCAGTTTACTTGCTATGTGTAATATGACAACATTACTGTTTGATATTCGGCTTTTGATCTTGCCCAGTAAGACAATGATCACTTTTTGTAGGTGATGCTTTTGATAACTATGCATGTTGGAAAGACATCTGTTATGATGTGTTAACATTTTTTCATCCCTTAGTTCATTTTTTTTTTGGAAAAACACATCATTTCTGTCTTTCCATTGAATTTAGGCTGCTGAACTAGATCATAAAAATGAATTGGAAAAGGCTCAAAAAATAAAAGATGACATGGATGAAATTACCTGCCTCCTTCGAGGAGACTTCCTTTCTGAAAACCCTGACCAAGCAATCAGTCCCTGGGGTAAACATAATGTGCTGGTGAATCGATGGAAGGGAATGAATCAGGAGCAGCGGATGGCAATTCGTGAATTTCAAAAGGAACAAGCCCTGGAGAAACAGGTATTTAAGCTCACATGCATTTTCATGCATTGTTTGTTTTCTTGCTTGTAATAATACTATACACAATGTTTGTAGAATAAAAATACCATTGTTTGCCCTGGACATGCCAATTTGAGACTGTGTTTTCCATTGATCTGCATTTTACCCAAACTTTAATCAGTCTAACTGAACACAGTACGTCTGAAGCACCTGGGAGATGTCATGGAGTAGGCTGGAGCCCTGGAGTTGGTCTGGGAGGAAGATTGCTGAGGAGCCCAGGGCCAAGGGGATCTTAGGGCATGGTCCATGATGGTCCAGCTGAGCAGCAAAGTTCTGCCCAGCCTGAGACCCAGGCTTCATGATGCAATTCAGGACCTGAGAGTGCACAAGCTGCCTGCAAGGAGTGGGCTGCTCCATAGGGGAAGGAGATCCAGGAGCTGAAGGTGAAAGCAAGGCAGGCCAAAGCAGTATTCTCATGCTCAAGGGTGCCCAAGCAAGGCACATAGAGCAGATCCAGTGAGCTTGCTCATGCAAATTTCAGAGACGTAAAAGTTCATGAATGTAAGAATGTGATGGAGTTTCATTTCTACCATTCCACACAACTATGAGCGATACTATAAAATAGAATTTCAATGGTAATGTTGATGCTCTAGAGGTGTATAGAAGCAGGCAGTTAAAATGAAGATGTCTAGGCTCCAGGCCTGCTTATTGTGAAGTAGGAAGTGACTTGCCTCCCTTGTGCAGAGGCTGCATTTATGACAGCTAAGGAATAGTGTTTGATTTTATCTTTTAGTCCTTACAATACCATAGGCTATACTATATCTTACTATATAGTACCGTTATTAAAGCTGAAGGTAGAATTGTTATTTTCCTGCCTCTCCTATTACTCTGAAATGAACCCATTCAAGTCATTAGGCTGGCTGAAAATGAGTACAATCAAGAAAAGTAAGTTTTTTGCAGGCCTGTTTTTTTGATTCTGTACAGTGGGGTGTCAGACAAGAAGTGAGGCAGAGGAAAAAAGTTTCTACTCATGTGGTGTTCGTGGCTCCACTATTTTACCAAGTTAGCCATATCATAAGCCATACTGATGTCTATGCACCTCTTGCTTCAAGAAGTTGCAATAATAACAATAATAAAAAAAATAATCTGTTGCTGCTCTGGATTTTTACAGAGAGAAAAGAATAGCTCTTTCATTGGCTGTGTCTTGCTTGTGCCTGGTTTAGAAATCCTTGCTGCATTCTCCCCATTTCAAATGCTACCCCTAGTGTTCAATAAAGGCAGGCAAGTTTGTTTGGATGAACTTACCCATGAGACTTTATATACACACTTCCATCTTTGAAAGAGAAAATGAAGTTTTTTTTCTCACTCCTGCAGAGAGTAAGAGAGCAGGAACGCCGCAGAGATGCTGAATGGGACAGGCAACGTCTGCAGGCTGCGCGAGTCCAGTTGCTTTGGGAGCGGCACCAGCAGCGGCAGAATCAGGAACAGCGCCGAGATTTGGATGCCATGAATACAGGGCTCTCTCAGGAGCAAAAAGCAAAGTAAGTACCAAACCTTCATCATTATGAATACAATAGCTTGGCTTTCAAAGAGCTCTTTTTATTTGTTCTGTTTGTACCTTTATTAATACACTTGTTTCTTTAATTTATCTTAGTTTTCTGAAACAAAAAAGGATGACCTGCCGGTAGAGCTGCCATTTTCTGATAGCTCAGGGTTAAACTAGCACCACGAAGAGCATTTCCATTATGTATGACAGAAATAGATGATCCTTTAGCTAACCACTGGATGTGTCTTGAAGGGCAGTTCTTGTGTCTGCTCCTATGGGAAGGGAGAAGGACAATACAGCAAGGACAATGCAGGAAAAGAAAAACAAACATAATGATTTGGCATTCTATTTTTCCAGTTTTTGGGTTTTTTTTTTGGGCATGAATACAGAAGTACAGAATAGTCAGAGTCGGAAGGGACCTAGAAGGATCATCAAGTCCAGCTCTTAAATGAATGGCCCACATGGGGAATGAACCCTTGACCTTTGCATTATTAGCACTATGCTCTGACCAACTGAGCCAGTCTCAGGTTCATATATACCTTTTGCAAATGAATTTCCAATACATGATGCCTTCTTATTATGAAAAAAAAAGTTTGAAACTGTGTTAATTCAAGCTTTTTTACTCTTGAGATTTCTGGAGGGATATCTCAGGAAGAAAAACCCAAGTTTGCTGTATTGAGATGTGGCATATATTTTGCAGAACAAGTTCTAGTTACATTAAATTCCATTTCTAATAATTTATGAAGATTTATGGGTGTTAATGCATTATATCTTTTTTAGATTTCTCAGACTGCTTCTGAATAATAGCAAAAACCCAATTACTAATGGCTTTTAAAAATTTTTATCTATTTCTAGGAACATTTACCTTAAAGAGGAAGAGTATTCAAATATTCCAACAGAGGAGTTTTACGCACAGTTTAATACAACCACCCGGTGATGATCTGGATAAATTGACCAGAATTATACAGAAGTATGTAGACACATTAAAATTTTCAGTTGAGCAATCCCATGTTTTATTGTTTTTATCTGTTCCGTGCCCTGTTCAAACACCGCATGCAAACCAAAGGACAGATGTATTCTAAGAAAAAGAAAACGTTGTAATAATTTTTAAACATGATTGTTGTTCTGATAGGACTAGTAGATTCAGTAGTAGGTTGTTTGACTCTTGTGTCTCAGGCTTAGCTGTAATATTTACATTATTCTTGACTATAGGAATCAATTTCTGGAAAGAAATCTGAATTTTAACTACAGTACTGCTTCATGCAACTTGGCCAGAGGGGAATGCTTCCTGCCATAGTCCACAAGAGATGCCCTTCTCTGGGAGGGAAGGAAGATAACCTAGGCAGAAAATTTTGTGTTGGTTTGTTTGTGGTTTGGTTTTGGGTTTTTTCGTTTTGGATTTTCTTAAAGCAAAAAACCCAGCTAGACAGAAAGGCAAGAAAAAAGGAAGAAGTGGTCAAGTTGGTCAGAAATTTTGTGAACAGTGGGAATAAGGAGAAAAGAGTTCAATAGTCATTGAGGTGATTAGTGCACTGAGGCATGGCACTGAAACAGAATGTGTGTTAGAATTAGTGTGGAAAAGCAGGGGGGAAGGTATTCCTACATCCACCCTGATGCTTTGAATCACAGAATCACAGAATAATGAGGTTGGAAGAGACCTCTAAGATCATCGAGTCCAACCCATGTCCTAACGCCTCAGCTAGACTATAGCACCAAGTGCCATGGCCAGCCTTTTTTTAAACACATCCAGAGATGCTGATTCCATCACCTCTCTGGGAAGAGCATTCCAGTACTTTATTATTCTTTCGGTGAAAATTTTTTTCCTAATATCCAATATATCCTGTACCTTCCCTGACGTAGCTGGGACTCTGTCCTCTGGTTCTGTCAGTGCTGCCTGGTGGAAGAGACCGACCCCACCTGTGTACAGCCTCCCTTCAGGAAGGTGTAGAGAGCAATAAGGTCACCTCTGAGCCTCCTCTTCTGCAGGAAGAATCCTAAGTTTGTCCAGTTTTTCCTTTGTAGAAGTTATCACACAGATTTCTCAGTCCTTTTTACTGACTTCTGTACTATAAAAAAATCGACTATATAAAATCTTTGAGATGAGGGGGCAGAAGATTGTGTAATAATTGTATTTTTGGTTAATTCCTATTTTCCTTAATGCAAATACCTGTGTATTTATATAGAATCCTAACATTGGGGTTTTGGCCATTGTTTACCACTGAGAGGCATTTTCATAGAACTCTGTAGTATCTCAAAATGTCTCAAAGATATTTTTTTCTTCAGTGTATCAACTCGTTCAGATGCCCCAAAATATGTACTTAAAACTGGGGGGAAAGGGGGAGGTGGTTCTTGGTATGTGTCACTTTTGGGTTTTCCTGTATCAAGCTTCACCTAACATTTTATCTGCCCATCATCCTTTTGCTGCACAGGTAGGTTAATAGGATCAGGAAAATATATGATCACATTTACTTCCTTTTTTAGGATGTTGAATAGCATTTTACCCAGGGCTCATGGAACTTAGCAATTTCCCTCCACAGGGAAGTTTCAAAGGGAATTTTCATTCTGTGCAACCTGTTACTGTCTATTGTGTTACTCTGTCCTGAACTGTCTATAATCAACACTACAGCTTGAAACACTACCAATAAGTTCCACATAATGCAGTGTTCTGGTTTTGAAACATCCCTACTCTCCACCACTGTATTTTTGTGTATTTTTTGTGAATACACAAAAAATCTCTTCAACTGTTTGCAATGACCTTATTTTTTCTGCTGCTTTAAGAAATTTTGTCTCCTACAGGATTCTTTTTAAGATCACCTGCTTATGAGGCATTCAGAAAGGAACGTAAATTTTATACCTTTACTTTAGAGATCCTTAAACTTTATTTTTAGTCTATGTTGTTAAGTTTCACATCCAACTTGCCACAGTTTGATTTCCCCTCTGCTTCTGGTATGGACCTTTGGAGGAGTTGACAGCTTCCTTGAAAAGATTTTCTCTGCTACCTAATGATGCTTGGGGAAGATTTTTCTCTAAGGTTTGGATAATGTTTAATTTTGTTTACTTTTATTTTTTTAGTAGTTTTTTACTTAGCTAGGAATTTTCACATTTTCTGGCCAATTAATTTAAGAAATCACTATGTTAAAAATATTTTCCCAGGTTTTACTTTGCTTTTATAGGTGAGAGAGACAAATGAAAGAAAGGAAAACCCAGTTCCCTCTTATCCTCATGCCAGTAGGCAGTTTATTTTCTTCTGGAAAAGTATGAATTCTTCCATTTTATCTTTTAAATAAATGTTTAAAGAAAAATAAGTCTGCTGCTTACTTTGCTATTTTACAAGAAGAGATGACTGAGTTTCTAAGTTGTGATAATCTCTTTCTCTCTTTTCTGAAGCTCAGAAAGGCCTAGTAAGAGTCTTGCAGATGTTAGTGAGCTTTGAATCAGAAGTGAGCAGGCACAAGTTCAGCTCTTTTCTGTTAAAACCCCAGAAATCACTGCAATTAACTTCACAATAGCTAAGAAAGACAGCATAATAGTAAAACTTAATACTTAACTACAGTTATGTATTATAACTACAGTTAAGTATTATAACTACTTACTTATTATGTTGTTTGCATGGTACAGGAATGATATTTTAAGTGTATTTTCAGCTTAACCAAACACACTGAGAAACAAAGAAAAATTTCAATTAAAAAATGAATAAGCCAATGGAACATCGTAAATCAAAAAGGAGTGATCAGACCTTATAAAATAGTTTCTTGATGTTATTCTGGCTCAGGTTTGACCCTTCACTATTTTTTTTCATCTGTTCACATCAGTAAAGTAAGTATCTGAATTGGAATAATCAGAATTAAACCTGTTATATTACTGAATTTTATATTTGGTTGGGTAGATGACATTCCGTTTGTAGTCATTAAGTTCTATGCAAATAAAAATATCTGCTGAAAGAGTTAAAATGTGTATTTGTGAAGTTGTTATAACTAATAGTTTTGAAGGATTTCACCAAGTAAATTACGGCTTTTTTTTATTTTAAGTGTATTACTTTTTTTTTTGCTGTTATGTTGGCAAGTTGCATAAGCAAGTAATGGAGAGTCAGGTTGAAAATAGCCATTACAAATACTGAAGTCTGGTTACAGAATGAGAAAAAGTGCAAATTTCCTTTCTCTATTCCATTTCATATCTCTGTGAGGATCCTGATATTTCTCTTTTTGAGTGAATTTTTTAGAACATTTTCTCAGAACCAGTTTTTAGTTCCTCATTTTAAACTGAAGATACTGTTTCATATCAAATGCAATTCAGAGAATACTAATCTCAAAATTTAGCATTGTAGGAAGATATGTTACATAATCCTAAATGTAATTTACAAATGAACAAGGCAAACTATTCATGGACAAATGGACGTACAAATTTGAAAATCAGAAAAAAAATTCTGAATGGAGAAAAAAATCAGTTTCTGAATGAATAAACTACATTTCACTGACTTCCTCAGTTTTCTCCTGCAAGGGCAAAGTTAAGTTTTATTTGCAGCTATTACTGAAATATTGCTTGTATTTTCAACTTATCTAGCACCATAATGCTAAAAACCAAATAAAAGCACATAATGAAGGAAGCTACATCAGTCCTGGTTTACCTGCTGTAATTATTTTTTTTAAATTTGCTTCACATACTCTTCCACATTTATTTCCTGAGGATATTGTGTGTGTGTTCCCAGCCCTGTAGTACCAAAAAACTGTACTTCAAATTCTCAAAGCACAAAAATACTCGGTATGAATTAGGGAGGAAATTAATGTTCAATCTGTTCCAGTGAATTTTATGTGTAATTTCTGTCATACCTTGTTGCAGTTATCAGTGAAGTTAATGCTTTTCAGATGACAGCACATGGAACCAGGGAAAATTGGATATCTAGTAGATATTCTAATCAATTAAAGGATGATGATACAATGGGAGTATGAGGAATATTTCAGGTGTTCATTTAATCAGGATAGATATTGCTTTTTGAAGGCAGAGTTTTATCTAAATATGATTTTTTTAAAGTTTGGCTTAGCTTACTGATTTTAGTTAACTTTATTAAATTGATTATTATTACCCTTCTGTTGCTACAGCTATGTCTATGTGTATGTATATATATATATATATCTGTATCTGTGTCCATTTTTGTATGAATCTTTAAATACTTTTTTGGGACTTCAGCATACTTTCTGTTGGTTTAAATACTTTTCCAAATATACTGTCCTTTTCTAGATTTATTACAAGAGTTATGAAGTTAGGACATTACCTTTGGAATGTTTGTTGCTATTGATGCTCTAAATATAGTGCTGCTTAGCAGAATTGTACTGAACTCTCACCCTGAGAAATCTAATTCCTGTGGCTTCTCATTAGCAATCCTGATTCTTCACAGAAGAAACCACAAAAATCTTACCCATACAAGAAACCACAGAAAATAAGCAGCAGCCTCTAGATGTCATAGTAGAAATTGCACAATTGCTGTTCACACAGCAAAAAATATTCATGCTAAGCTCCTTAGAAAATAGGGATAAGGGTATTTTTTTTTAATAATACAAAGTCTAATCTAACTATGACATTTTGCAATAATACAAAAGAGTGGAAATACTGATGCTCCAGATACATCGCTGTCACACCAACTTGAGAAAAACAGTGCTCCAGTGTGTGCTATGGCCTTTCTAATAAGAGTATTTGCTATTGCAGTGGTGGTTGAAATACACTAAAAAACGGAGTACTGTAAATACTGTGGGTGTTTGATACAGCATATAAAAATGAAAATTATTTACTTTTGATCTTTATTAGATTTTCAATGAGCTTCATCCATCAATAAAATTTAAGAGTTAATTTAGGTTTCTTATTTGAAAATGCTAGGAAGAAAGTGAGGATTGAAAAATAGAGCATATACAGGAAAAACTGACAAAAAGAAACAGCCAGCTACAT